CAAACCAACCGATCTGTGTCAGTCAGGATAGCAGAACACAAAAATTTGGCCAAACTAAGATTATTAATTTTCAAAGAAACTTGGCAATCGCTCAACATGTACTGACGCACACTAACACACAATATGGTAGATGGGATAGGGTGACAATTCTCAAATCCAATAAAGATAGCTTGATAGATGGACGGTTAGATTGTTCACAGGATCTTTGTTCATTCAATCAATACCTAAGACACATGTGACAGGAATCATGCATCACATTTCACAGATATCTAGGAAATTTTACTACCATTAAAATGAAGGAATGAGGGGAACTATTAGACTACTCTACTATATGAGGGAAGTTTGAAAGTTGTAAGATTACTTTGGTATGAATATGAACAATAAACTGTACTCGAAACGTCATCTAGTAAGTTATACTGTGTCACTGTGTACTAGATCGATCAAATAAACAATCTGATATGGAATGTTTTCAGATGAATGGAAAAGTAGGCTAAATACTAATGGTATGATGGCATGAGTCCATCTTTAAGGAGGTCACTAGTGATTTTCCACCATTACAATCCTCTTTAATTATCCTTGCCTATATTAAATTCAGTAATATTTTGAAACTCAACTGTGATCAGAAAAACCATAGATAGAAGAATGAATGGTAAGCTACGTAAGAAGTGAACAGTGCACAACGAGGGAAAGTGATTTCATGAACTAAAAATTAACATCATAAAGATAGAATTGGCTGCATAAATTTCCTTTGCATATAAAGCTCTGATTTCTCTGTATAGTTGACATAAGCTTCAACAATATGAAGACACGCTGATTTTGGAAGGTTTCTTCTCTCTTTATAATTAATTGACTTTGAATAAAGAGGTTCTAGAGATAAAGTGACTCATGTTCACATGTTCATTATACCACTTCTTATTTATCCACTATTACCACTTTACAACCACACATGATAGTACCCTTGAAATCTTCTGGATAACAGTCTCATCGAAACACCCATGTACATAACTGCAAGAGTACAAGTGAACTGAGATATGCACATAGAAGTAGTCAGATGCGGAAGTTTGAATTTTAAGTTGTTAGAAATCATTGAGTAACAGGAGAATATTAGTCTCAGAAGTGATGTAAAATAAGATTCTTTTTCATGAGTCTTGATATCTGTCTATTTAGAATGTTAATGTTATCTTTGTAACGTCTAGGCTATAGATTTGTCTATGAATCGTGATAGGAATCTATTTTCCTTCAGAATATTTCCCAGAACAGAAATTTCCTATTCCAATACATCTGAACAGTCAATTCGTCTAATAATATGAATGATAAGAGATATGGTTAGATTTCGTTCGTTTCTCGTGGGAAACCAACTATGAAAGTTTGTCCGTTGATCATTTCACACCGGTTTTCTTTAAATTGACCTTCTTAACATTCCATTGGCTATTTTTGTCAGCTTTACATGAAGAAAGTGAATCTTTGATCCATTTTCAACTTCAAGAATGAATCTGATTGCTGAAACGCAGCTACGAAATACCTGTAGCAAATGATTTAAGTCAAATTGGTCATTATAGTCAGTCACTGACTCCAAGGATCCGTTCCCTAAATTGATCATTAATACAGTCTTCAATTTGTTAATCATCTTGGACTGATATCAGTTGGAAAATCATTGAAAACCTGGGAATGATGGAAAACTGTTTCGTCCTAGTATGTGATTCTTCACTAGAGCGCACCCAGGATCTTCGGGATTTAGTTGCCACTGAGTCACTTGGTCGGAATCCAATCGTCAATATTTCTAACTTCCGCTAGTAATGAACTTACTGAGGATCTCATGATAGTTCCATCCTTCTGTCCGTAAATTAAGTAGTTAAATGTGTCTCTGAGTAAGAATTTCTGAATGAGGATGGTCAGTATCCCAACCGCCAAGTTATCATCTTCTATCTATCTGCATAAGAAGGAGATAATCTCAATAAGCTAAACATGGATAAAAGATGACTCAATACCAAGTGATGTATCGTATGTTTATGTCTCTTATGCAGTCAACAAATTCAATGTTCTGCTGGGTATCTTTCGGCAAAACTAGGTAATAACAGCTTCTAAAAAACGCTAAATACGCTACTGCAATCATTCAGCAAAGTTATACTTGTTTACATAATAAGTTTCTGTAAAAGTTCAGATGTTATTCGTTCATTCTTATAGTACTTTTAAAGTTATTCTTCTTTTAGAACCTTCAGTGTTTCTTCCTTGTTCTCGTCTTGCATTGAAGAAGTTGAGGGAAACAATAGTGTAACATCAAAGAAAGTTTTTTTACTAGATAACAGATATCCATTCAAACCTCGCCTGGTTAACTAGTTCACTAGTTACTAGCCGGTCCTAAACCCGAGTAAAGAGGGAAGGTTGGGCATAGGGCTAGCAACTCTACCCCATAAAACCAATCTAACCGCTTTAGAAACTTCAAAGCACAAACAAAATATAAAACAGAAAACAAACTTATTCCTCACTGGAATCGGAGAGGCGAAAGGACACCGGTTGGTGAAAGCCTGCCTTCGGGAAGCCAATTGGCCGATGTGTCTTCTCTCGATGAGAGCGACAGTAAAAGTGGGGACATGGAATGTCCGCACTATGTTTGAACTTACCAAGGCTGCCCAGATTGCAAAGGAGATGAGAAGGTATCGCACTGAAATGTTAGGGATTTGCGAAAGCAGATGGAATGGAAGTGGACTCTCCAAACTGTCAACTGGAGAGTCAATAATCTACTCCGATATTGTCACCCAAACGACAACCACAAACACACTGAGTTCTGGAGTGGTTATCATGATGTCTCCAAGACCATCGAAGGCTCCCATGCAGTGGGAATCAATCTCCTCCTGCAGGATCAGATTCATGACAGCAACTTCAACTCATACGTAGGAAAGAAAGTCACAATCATACAATGCTTCACTATGCACCTACAAATAATGCAGATCAAGAGAAGGAGGAATTCTACAGACACCTGCAATCAGCACTGGACAAGACCTCAGTTGACGATATCAAAATTCTAATGGGCGACATGAATGCCAAACTGGGAGGGGACAACACACGAAGAGAACTAACCATGGGTCGAGAAGCGCTAGGTGAGATGAGCGAGAATGGAGAACTGTTTGCATATTTCTGCACATTCAACGATTTGGTGATCGGAGTCAGGCACTGTGTTCAAGCACAAGGATATCCACAAAGCGACATAGATTTCACCAGACACCAGGACAAACTAAAAATCAGATCAACTTTATCTCATTCCAGGTATACTTGCAGCTTCCAAGAGAAGCTAACCTCCTAGACCGTTTTCATCATAAAAAGGGTTCAAAATAGTCATCCAGGATATTAAGATTCTAGTCAATCAGATTTCAAAAAAGGGAGAGGACACTTTAGCTCGTATGTAGGAGTGGATTCTGGGACAATAACCTTAGACTTCACCCTTTATGATAGCTTGATTCATCGAAAACAGAAAAGAAGCGGAAAAAACGACGAAGGTTTTATTGTCCAGTCGGAACATGTACAAAAACTAGCGAATTTATATACATTTTCTTGAAAGTTCTACACTTTTCCAAAGAGCCCTTTAACCAATCATCTGAGTCTCACATTTTATGGTCACGTGGTTTTCCTCGAACTTTCAACATGCTGTGACTGGCTTTTCAGGAATTTACGGGTTTCTTTGAGGAATTCAGAGGATGTTGTCGCACTCCACAGCAATATTCACTGCGGAAAAATTAGATTGTGTCAGTGTATTCTAGAAAGTTCTGTCTTCATTCAACTACCATCTGTCTCAGTGCATCACGATGGTGAATCTCCTAGCCTGGTAGACACACTGTAAAATAATAGATGGACTTCAATCAGCACTTAGGAGCAGACAACATGAAGTTGCTTACACTCCAGTGACTAAACAATGTGAACAAAGTTTCAGCTATCAATCTTGGGTTCCTAATGGAACATAAGGCTTCAGTAGCACGTCTCCAGTGAACTCTGTTCTCTAAAATCTTTTCAACCTGGCTCCACGACAGCCCAGAAGCTCTCATTTCCTCCTCGCAACACCTCCTCCATGTCACCCTCGCCTCAAACGCCCAACTCGTCGCTTCCCATGGGGATTCCACTGGAGTGCCTGGCCTGACGCGTGATGTCCCCAGTCGGCCTTCTCAGTGTATGCCCAATCCATCTCCACTTCCTTCTGCATATTTATTGAGAGATAGGTTAATGGTTGATTCGTTCCCAGAGTTCCTTGTTGCTTATTCTTTCTGGCAATCCATCTGATCTTCAGTAGCGAGCCAGCGTACGTGGCAGTTGTTGATGAATGTCTGTAGTTTACTGGAAATCCCTTCCGTGACGCGCCAAGTCTCTGAGCCATACAGAAGCACTGACTTGACGTTGGTGTTGAAGATCCGGATGTTGTTCCACATGCTGAGTGCAGAAGATCTCCACACTGGTTTCAGGCTAATGAACGCCTGTCTTGCTTTTCCCCCGTTCGACTTACTCTGACCTTAATACTCGACCTTGCAATCGTCATATGAGATTTGATAAACGAGACTGTTTTGTCGAATGGGCTTTATAGGATCGTTATACCTGTAAAGCTTGTTTCTTAGTGAGTTCGACTGCTGGAATCCAACCCCTCATAGTGGATGCGTACTACTGCAGACTTCCAAACGAGTAGGAAACAGTCCTACTACCCCTCAGTTCAATACTTCTTGGGTTTATTACATCTTGAAAACTGCCGGAGAAATGAGAAAGATTACCTCGAACAGTTTGTTTATTAGACAGACTGAACAGATAAACAAATAAATAAACGTAGTATTCATGAATAAATAAACTTTATAAGTAGGCATTACATAATAAGTGATGGATTTTTCATGCAAATAAATAGAGTTCAAAAACATTTGAAATAGTAATGATATTATGTCATTAGAGCGTTATGAAGAATTTCAATGAGTATAAACGCTTCACCCAAATATCCTTTCCATTTGTGTATAGTAGGGTGAAACATCTACCTACTCTAACACTTTATTCAATTCCTTAGATGGTCGATTGTTCGATACAACAGTGATAGGTGACAATGGATGGTTGGTTTTTTGTAAATAGTCCTAGAAAATAAAATATTAAAAAATTTTGAAAAGAAAAGAGAATATATGTAGTTGTGTACTTAACGTATTTGTTCACATGTTCTTGCAATCTTATACAAAATGAATGAGGATAACAACCAATCAACAGTGAGTGACCTTGACACCATCATACTTATTAGTATTGACTAGCCCATCCATCCTATGCGTGTTTTATGCCTGTTGCAATTTGTTAAAATACATTATCACCCTATATGGGCTGACGTGCTGGTACTGAGTTATGGTTGAAGGTGAAATGAAAATCTCAATCGTTGTAGAATCTGAACCACTGGTTACTACGGTTACCGGCTCAATGCTTCCCTAGATGGATCAGAACAGCAGTCAGAGACTTCATCCATTGTTGCCATATCCTAGTCTGACCACTCAGAGCCCTGTTGCAACCTGATCCAACCTCTTCTAGCACTGCAAATTGACGTAGGCACCAGCTCAGTAGCTGCTGAAATTTCTGCTTATTTATAGAATCGTGATGATATAACAGGAAGCGCCCTGAATGGAAATCAACATTTTCAGTCATCAGCCACTAAGGTGTAAGCTTTGTATTTCAGCTTTTGTTTCGTCTCACTGTGTGGTCAGAAAAAACCTTATTGGATAATCTTGTCCTTCAGTTGACCAATCAAATAAATTGTTGATCTTTTGACCTAGTAGTTTTACTCTTTCATGAGAACTGTATATAAATGATTTGTTTTTGTCGAATAAAGTGTCCTTCCTTTACAATGACAGGCCAATCTTTGTCTTTGTCCTGTGATAAACAACATTTTGGACATGAATTTTTCACCAGAGGAAGTAGTGCGATGAAGCACACTGGGTAGGTCAGAATTTTATCGTGTACCCAAGAGTTTATCCCATGAAGACGCTTTCCTACCTGACTACTGTTACATCACGACATTATTCACTATCAAGCCGAAAAAACTTTCTTATCATATTTCAATTCAGCATACTTTGAGCAAAGAATAAACTAAAACGATACAGTGATACAATTTATAAACAAATAAGAGGAGTATGAATGAGGTGTTCATCAGAGAACCGATAATTTGAAGATACTGAATATGATGCGACACCAAAGAGCCTTGTCTAGAGATACACCTATTTGAAGACCGGACTTCAAGTGAACGTAGAGAAGACAGAGGTGATGATGATACTCAACCAACGCCACTACTAACAACAACAAGCTCCAATCACCGTCAACGGGGGAAACTTAAAGGAAGTAACCTCCTTCACCTATCTAGGCAGCACTGTTTCAACTACAGGTGGCACAGACGAGGATGTCAAAGCCAGTCAGAATCGGAAAAGCAAGACAGGCGTTCATTAGCCCGAAACCAGTGTGGAGATCTTCTGCACTCAGCATGCGGAACAAGATACGGATTTTCAACACCAACGTCAAGTCAGTGCTTCTATATGGTTCAGAGACTCGGTGCGTTACGAAAGGGGTTTTCAACAAACTACAGACATCCATCAACAACTGTCTACGCTGGCTCGTTACTGAAGCTCAGATGGTCAGAATAATAAGAATAAGCAACAAAGAACTCTGGCCTGGTAGCGAACCAACGAAGAAAGAAGCTATCGCTCAACAAATATGCAGTGGAAGGAGATGGATCGGGCATACACTGAGAAGACCATTGAGGGACATCATGTGCCAGGCCAGGTCGTCGAGTGGAACCCAGATAGGAAGCGACGAGTTGGGCGTCCGAGGGTGACATGGAGGAGATGGTGTGAGTAAGAAATGAGAGCTTCTGGGCAGTAGTGGAGCCAGGTTCAAAAGATTGCAGAGAACAAAGTGGAACGGAGGTGTGCTACTGAAGCCCTACGTTCCACTAGGAACCCAGGGGATAAATAATAATAATAAGTAATAGAATCTTGACATGGGGGCGGCATTTGATTCCGTCGACCATGAGGTGTTGTGGCTAGTCTCTAACTGTAAAGGGAGTACCAAGCAAGTACACAACGCTAATCAAAGCTCTGTACTTGGACTGTGTCAGCGCTTATGGAAAGTTGTCATCAAAATTGGCGACAAATATCGATGCTTGGTGAAAAATCTTCGGCAAACTGATCAAATCCACACAAACCACTACAACTTAACAAGTGAGATAAATAATCATTACTGAAGTAGGACTATTTATTCGATGAAATCTAGATTCTCACCAATTTCACTTGGCATGGAAACATACTTGTTTCTTGTCTTGACAAGAAGTACAACATCCACTCTAATCGATAAAAACTAAATCAATATCATAATTAGGATTGAAAATGTCTAATACTGACCTTAAGGTTTATTTTTCCATTATAAACTACGATAATTATGTATATTATTTCCTTTACCTATGATGGATACATGCACAAACACAGGTATTACCATGTTTCCCACGCATGTAGACAAACGAATGTTTGAAAACATTCTAATAACTTCTGATTGACTCACACTTATACTACAAAACCTCGATATCTAGACCACATACACACACATATACATACAAAAATAACTGCACAATATAAAGACATACAGTCGTCTGTATTCTACTGTATCGACTTATTGATTGATTTTCTGTTCAAATAATATTAATATACACATATTGATTGTCAATATACGTTAGTGTGCGTTCGGTTCGTATCATATATTATGAAAGATAAAAAATTAGTCGAAACATGCAGATAATATAGAAACATAATTCGCTATTTTGTTTTAAACTATGTATCATAAAAATATGCCTTCATAATCAATCTGTGAATCGAATAAACGAAAAATGAACATATTATCGATGTGGAATTCAAGACACAAATTTTGTCCTATTTTTGATTCGTCAGCTGAATATACCTCCATCCCAGTGCGAAATGATGTTGTTCGCACTGGGACTCAAACCCAGTGCCTATCGCTACAAACGCCAATAGCGTCATCCACTAGTCTACTGTGGTACAAGAGTTACATAGTACTGATGCTTCATCTCAGATGTCTTCATCCCATCTTCTGAACAGTAACGATCATAGGTAAGCATTGACTACAGAGTTCCACCCTGATGCTTAAGATTAACCCTAGAATTTGTGGGTTAATGACAATGTATCTATCGAATGACGTACTAGTATCGTCTGCTGCACAGCTAATGAATCTACGGACATATTGCATCACAAATATGTAAGCGACTGACTTAAAAGGCCACTCTAACAACTGCTGAGATAATCAATTCCACTTCATTGTTTTCTGAAAAACTCCCTTCCCAGCCGAAATTCCGAAGGTTGACTGATTATTTCAGTAATTTGTCATTTTATGGTACACCAATTGTTCACTAATTCAGGAACTCAACTTTCAACTATTTCATAGGACAAAGAATTGTAATTGTATTTTGCCCATCAGTGTAATACTAGGTGATGATTGAAGGTGAAATGGAGATCTAAGGCCACGGCCGGATTCAAACCAGTGACCTAAAGGTAAGAGGAGTCAGAAGGAAGATATGAATTACAAAGAGATAGAGGAGAATATAGGTCGAAAGTAGATTGTTCGCCGACTTACAGAAGACGTAGGTGTAAAACAACCGCCTTTCCAAATCACTTATAACCACTTTCATCCAGTAGAAATCAACTGTATTCGAAGAAATAGGTCGACAAGCAGTTCAATACAAGTTTATTCAACCAATTGAGGGAATGGATAAAGGTGACCACTTATGAGTCGATAACCTTTTCTGCCACAGCATAATGTGTGCTAGTCAATTACATCTCTCCTTGTAGAATTACTTTCTATCACCTCTGATAGACGCTACCTTGACCACTGCAGTCATTTAGGTACCCTCACGGGTGGGGGTTTAAAAGTTACTCCGGAAAATCTGTCCTGTAGTGAAAAATGTTCGCTTCAATGTTTGCCTAAAAAAATCCAAATAACTTACATGTGCATGTGACAGTGCATCCCGTTTCTCTTCCGTACTGCATTTCTCTCCAATATACACAAATAAAGAATTGCCAGTATCGATCAAGTAGACATCATTTGCTGATAACGAGGATCTTGGTAGTGCATTTTCACAGACAAGTGAAATTTCCATTTTACCATTTTCATCAGAAACTCTATGGACAGGGGAAACATAAAATAAAAACAGACGAGTTTAGCTGAAGAACACTACAACATAGAATGGATTGAGGTCAATAGTTTAAGAAAAATAGGATATGCATACATGCTTCGGTTAACATTGTATGCCAACATAGGCGGTGGTGGCTCAGCATGCGTAACACATGTCCAAGCTATCTCAGTCGATAAAGGTTCACAATTTCATCGACTGGTTTACCTTTTTCTTGTAGTACCTCTTACCTTACATACACAAAGCTAAATGGGAACGGTTTCGGAGAGCATCTCTATATGCTCTTACACGGTTATATCAGTTCGAGTAGAGAGCTTTAATCAGCACTACATACTTCCTCGGTACTCCTCTACACCGTCAAACACTGCCATAACACCTCACCGTCGATGAATCGGATCAGGAAATGTGACAAGTGACGATAAGTATGCCTGTGTTTCAAAGCCTATTTAAGAGTGAAGAAGCGATAGATCCACGCTCATTCAAGTTCTGAAACCAATCAGGTTTATTCAAGTATGTGGTTCTCAAGCTCCATATTTGGGGCTCAGATAAATTACTACTCTAGGATCTTAGATAAGATGTTAGTCAAACTGCCGCCACCCTATGGTTGTCAGAAAACTTCTCTACCTTTCTATAGACTGGAATGATCATTGAAGTACACTAGGTTGACGAGACTATCTGTAATCCCCATACACTACCTGGTACCTCCGTTACCCTACTCAGTCGTTTCATACCTTCATCCTTAAAAAACTTCTGGTAGAAAACTATCAGTTTTTGGTGCTTTGCATCGTTTCAGGTTCAAAACAGCCTTCTCAACTTCAAGAAGAGTTTGAAGATAGACACCTACATCTAATTGAGGTTCGGGTTGGATGCTGATTTACTGAAGCTTTGCTGTGAGTCATTTCCATAAATGGTGAATAATACCTGCATTGCAGGAAACGAAAGAAGAAGTTCACGTTGTATTCCGATATAACACACAGTAGAATTTCTAAGCATCTAGAAAATCTTCAAAAGTTGCGATCTATCTCTGTTTCGTTCCCTCTTATATTCTTATAATAAAATCCATACAAACTGGGGCAATAGTGAGTTGAAAAACGAATCAATTGGCTAAAATGAATTACTCACCTGTAAATCGCTTTCTTGCCTATTTCTATCTTGGCTTTTTCTGGTATTTCCACATCTGGTAGATAACTGAGGAACTTTTTCTTTGAATAGTACAAATTTGGAAAAGAGAAGGACAAAGTAAACGAATGAATGAAACAACAGCTATAGCATATGCACACATACATACACATTCATTCATGAAATATACTGAGCAAGTGTAAGAATTGATAGAATGGGCATGAATACCAATAAACTCTAGGACGTGTGTTTCACTCTCTCTGGGACTCATCAGTTACATACACATTCGTTCATCTTAACAAATGACGATGTTCTCATCGACAGTTGAATTCAGTAGTTATTACGACAGCTGAATCTTATAAGAAGCATATTTAGATGCGAACAATGATGTTTCATACATAGGCTAGTAACTAGTATTATTTGTAAAGAGAAACAATACATATTCCACGTTGTAGTCACTATACTAAACTGTTCTAACCTCTCCTCATCATGGATATCAACATACGATCAGGTGTTACTGTAATAACGATCCAAGTTGCCAAACCTTATATCGACAAAGCAATCAAATGAAATATGGTGAAATGAGATATAGTCGGTTAGAAAGTAGTAAAAGAGAAAATGGATAGATAAGAAAAGATTGAATTCAGTAAGACGATATATCTGCGCCAATAACATCGATTTTGAGTCATGTCATCACCTAGAGTCTGTTAACCACTGGTTTCTGTTGTTATGCAAACTTCAACCACGAAGTCTACACTTCCCTACACGACTAACGGGTTAGACTAACAATCAAAAACTTGTAATCTCTAAGGATAAGTTGGCCATTGGATTAAGCATACGCGTTATCACATAGTAAATACTTAACACGAGAGCCGTTATATGCGCTTTACTTCAGATTGAATTAAATCACATATGTACTGTCAAGTGGATTGTTGACGAGCGTAAATATATGAAAATTAACCGCTGAGGAGTGTCACGTCAGGAAGAAAAAGATGTCCAGTGGTCTGGATTTTTCGTCATGATCAATATCAACATAGGACCAGGCATTACTGCGTAACGGTCCACCTTCTCATACCTCATATCAGTACATCAAGTAAAAAGGCAGTGAGGAGCAAGATGAAGATAAGAGAATACAGTCAGAAGAAATATAAAGTACGAAAAGAGAGAAACGAATCATGAGAAAATGGTGAGATTCGGTATAGCGTTGTTAAGATGAAGATAATGTGTGAATACATCTGCGCCACTGACATCCATCCTCAAACATATCATCTACAGTCTCCAACCACTGATTCCTCTTGTCCCGCAGACCTCAACCACTCAGTCTGCATCACCCCATATGGCTCAAATCAACAGTCAAACACTTCATACATTGGTGCCATGTTTTAGTCTGGCCACCTCGAACCTTTTTCCAGCCTGAACCTACTTCAGCCAACATTGTGCGACGAGGTAATCGGCCACTAGGCATACACAACTCAACACAACACATGTCACAACCAGCTATCTCAGTCCATGAAGGTTCACAACCGTGTCAACCGACTTACCTCTTCGCCCTCCCGAAAACTCTACACACACCTAACTTCTGCGTTACTCACGGGGTGATACCACAGAATACACCCTATACTAAAAAGGCAACGGTCGTCAAACACTTAAAGCCTTCTCATGTCTACCACCTTCAATGACCATGTTTCATAGCCATACAGTAGAACACAGCGGACTGCTGTGCAGTACATCCCACCCTTAATAGACAATCGGATATCACGGCGGTGCCATTGCTGGCGTAAGTTTGTGAAAGCCAATCGAGCCTTTTCTATCCATGCAGAGATTTTACCGGCCACTTCACTTCATTTAGCCATCAGGGCTGATCCTACTTCCCAGGTAAGTGAAGTGGCCAACACACTCAACCACTTCACTCTCTATTGTTAGTCATGGCACCGTCGAAGACCAATCCTGGAGCAACAATTTGCATTTCGGTGGTGAGAAACGCATCCCGAACGTTCTCAAATTGCCACTCAGTGTGTTCAGAAGACTCTGCATCTTGTCAGCGTCTTCACCTAACACGGCTAAGTAATCTGCATATTCTAGGTCTTACGAAATTTCTCCTGCGATTAGGTCAACCTCTGTGTTATCAGGTGACGAGAGGAAGACCTCGATAAGAACATCTTTGATAAAATTGGATAAGAATGGAGACAGTGGGCACCCTTGACAGACACCACTCAATGAGCACAGCTCCCTGGACATCTCACTATATGCTCTAACATGCCCAAAAGTATTCAAATAGAGAGCCTTCAATAAGGTGATGTTCTTACTAGGCACGCCTTTCAGTGACAGACATTGCCATAAGACTTCTCAACCAACGGAGTCAGATACCGCCTTCAGGTCGAGAAATACGGTTAGTATCGGGTATCGGTAAGCGTGTCTATGTCCCAGGACCTGGCAGTGTGAATATTTGGTCAGTACACCCACGGCCAGGTCTAAAACCTGCTTGGTTTTCTCGAGCTTGGTGTTCCTGAGCTCCACTCAGGTGTCGAAGAATTATAGAACCTAGGATCTTGGACACTATGCTTGTCAGGCTGACTCCTCTGTGGTTATCACAAGAAGACTTCTCGCCTTTCTTGAAGACTGGGATAATCAGTGACTTAGACCAGTCAGAGGGGATCGCATTTGATTCCAATATACTGCTTAACACTTCCATTAACCTGACTAAAAGCACCTAACCACCATCCTCGTATACCTCAGCAGGTAGTTCATCTGATCCTGCCGCCCTTCCTCGTTCCAGGTTACCTACCGCTTTTTCGATCTCTGCTAGTATTGGGGGCCTACCTCAATGCTCCATTCACGATCCAACTGGATAGTGGACAATGCAATGGTGGCTGGAGGCCAGTTAAACTGCTCCTAGAAGTGTTCTGCCCATCGTTTCAGCCATCACCTCTGCTAGTGGATCTACGGTAAAGCCTCACTAACTGTTGTTGACCCTTTCCCCCCAGTTTCCTTAATAAGTCTTAGTAACTGTCAACAGTTACCGATCGCCGCTGCCTTTTCCATCTCTTTAGCCTTCGCACCCCACCACCATTCTGGGTCGTTGAGTAAACTTTTTCTCAATCTACTTTTTAGTTGCGCACGCTCTTCATTGTACTCAGAGCCTGCAGGAATGCGTTCACATGCATCCATTAGTTCAAAAGAAGCTGCTGATATCCACTGGCTCTTTTTAGCCACTATTTTGGAATCGGTTACAGTCTTCAGCGCTGTTTTTACGGCAGACTGGAGATGGCACCAAGCTTCTTCTGGATGAGTGGTAGTCTTCAGTTACGATAACTGCCTAGCCAACTTCTCACTGAACACGGCTTTGGTGTTTTCCTTGTCCAGCAGCACTTGTAGTGGTTTTGTTGCCATATTTTTCTTACATCCATTGAAACACAAGCATATACGCGCTCTGATCAACGCATGGTCGCTATCCAAACATATACTCTAGAAGGAGTGGCAGTATTCCACTGATCCTCTCCACCGATGACTAGTAGCAATGTGGTCTATCTGTGTCCATCGCTGAGTTGAGCTCGGTGGACGCCAGGTCAGACAGTGTCTTTCTTTATGTCTGAAATTTGTGCTAGCTAAAAATAGGCGGTTATCTGAGCATAGTTGCAGTAGGCGATCACCGTTATCTGTACGTTCAGTCAGGATTCCGAAAGTGCCACCACCTAAGTGCCTTTCTGCCTCACTCAGTCTACCCACCTGTGCATTGAAGTCGCCTGCAACACCCACCACGTCCGAACGTTTGACTTTCGAGAGGAGGTTAGACAGTTTATGGTAGAACTCGTCCTTCACTTCATCCGGACTGCATTCAGTGGGTGTGTAAGCAGAGATTACAAAGAGACAATAGCGAGTCTCCCTATTCCTTTTACTTCTCACTGTGCCGTTCAGCCTCATAGCGCAGAGGTGACTATCAACTGGGATCCAGTCTAGTAGTGAGCTTTCTACCCTAGTGCTTAATGCTATGCCTACACCCACAAGACCACGAGAGCTAGCTATCGAGTCTCCAGAAACTCGAAGGGTGAATTTTGAGGATTCACCAGATTGACCGGGAGAGGTCAGGTGAATAACCGCACTTGGGTCCTGTATGAGTGTCTTACAAACACAGCACACATCCATGGGCCGAGTTGCCAGAGTCTTTGCCAACGAAGCCTGTTGGCCAATTTGACGGGGGGTGTGGACATTGAAGACTCGAATATGTAATTTGGAGCGTGGTTTAAGGAGACCAAGGATGCTGTTCTGTGGACTCAGATCGTTGTCGAAGGCTACAGGGATATGAGGAATTGAAGATGATGTAGTATCGTTAGTTAACAGACGTGAAGGAAGATTAGAAGGTAATGATGGATGAGATGGATAGCAGTCTGAGGAAACTTGAATGCTGACAGAGTTGTGACGGCGGTTGACACTTCCCAGCTGCCCACACCGTGGAAAGCTATTTTTTCTTAAGATACCTGAAAGAAATTTGTGCGACCACAGAGCCAATCGGACATCTGCTTGAGGTCTGTCACACGCAGCATTTTGTGCATGATTACTTTGATTTTGGGGTTGGATGGTCGAAAAGAAACTACAAATGAACCAACACCGCTAGCCCGGTGGACCGTGGAGCATGGTGGAGTGTTATTTTTTGGGCCAACCTTTTTTAACCCCCCCCCCCTTCCACTGATAAGGCAGCAGCAGAGCACTTCTGGTCATCCAAGGGAAACACCTTACTGCTGTCACACCCCATCCAACTAGCGGCAATACGACTTCACCCTCAGACCCTCATCATAGTGTAGTAATTGACACCACAACGGTAACTGCTTTTCGTCTTACCACTATCCAACAGACCTTTCTGGTATGGTAGGACCTCGAGGAACAAGTATTTCACCAGCATAACTCGTTGGGTCATTGTGATATGCAAGCCCGACCACCACGTCAAGGTAGGAGCTATCGGTCAGGTCTGGATTTTTCAATGGTTCTTTAACCTACATCATTCTATGATGAATGACACCTTAAAATCAATAAATCCTCGAGAACCTCCAAAATGAATTGCCGTAAGTTCATATGAGAATTAATGACTGGTGGGGAAGGTCGCGACATATTGCAAATCGACATATGTAGCAAAACGCTGACTATTGGATTTAGATTTAGTAGCTCGGTTGTAGCATGTTTGGTTGTGCGTCAGATCCCTGGCGAGGTTGTGACCATCCACTGCTGACGAGTCCCATATTGGGACGAAACAAATGTACATTTTGCAGCCCAGTGGACGTGTTAAAGTTCAAATATTTTAGTTCCAATGTTTCTGATTTCAGTAATAAAAGACTAAATTTTTGGGCTTATTGAATAATCCATCTCCTTAGTGTTGCAGACAAAAAGTTGTGGAGAGACAGACAGACGGTACCCAGCGTACGCAACCCAGTTACATAACCTTCTACAGACAAAGTTATATCTCTGGTTTGTCGGTTTTACTGATGTTCGGATCTGACCCTCGGTTTCTATGGATAATTGATCGAGGGGAATGCCCAAACCCAGATTCTGACCATTATTATCGAATGATTCTGGAGGTCACCACCACAAATACTACTGAACTAATCAATTAGAGCTATGCACTTTATGAAAAACTACCTTTCCAGTCGAGACAAAGAAACCTAATTGGTTGTTTCAGTGGTTTCTGTAGTGAACCTATTATCACTCTAGTTGATCCTACGGGCACGACGACTCCAAAGGCCACCCTGGCAAAAACTTAAATAACCAATCAGGTTTCTGTTTTTTGGACAGGAAGGTAGTTTTTTCATAAAATGAAAGAACCTGGTTGGTTATTTTGATGGTTGCCATTAGAACCTTTAGTCAGACTGATGCACACTAACGTCACACCAACTGACTCACAGAGAAGACGAAGTTAGACTGCTAGCAAAATATTTGGGAAGTGTAGAAGACCTGAAGGCGTAGGCAGCCTAATCAGAATAGGAATACGAATGATATTCGAAATTGATTGTTTGTGGCTGTCCATTTTCTCTAGTAATGGAACACACAAGTCCTAACTATTGAGCAGTAAAATTGGGCATCAGGTTTCACTCGTGCTTATAGTTGCCCAAATTTAAAGGCGACCCAAGCAACTGCTGAAGTAACCAATTAGGTTTCAGTGTATCGGCTAGAAAGAAAGTTTTCCACAAAATACAGAAAAATGATTGGTTATCTCAGCAGTTGTTAGGGTGGCTTTTGAAGCCATTTCAGATTTATACTTAGATACTTTTTTTATTACCTCTATAGGTGGATACCCAAAAAGGAACAAAAAAGAAGCCGATGAAAATCTCATGTTTCAATATCTTTTTCACATGATCAACCAGCAAGCATGATGCAATTTTCGAGTTAATTTAGAATGCCATATAGAAGTTGTCTTGGGTGTATATGTCCCATCCGGTGTCCTACCAAGTGATTTCACTGGCTAGGTTACTGAAAAGTGGGTAGGCAGTTAAGAAATCACCCAACTAAGCGACTAGACGAACAGCACAGCCAACCAATAGTTAGCCATGAATCGCTTTTCCTCTGTCAATCTATTCCTTTCGGCTTCACGAAGCCTTATTTACTAGAATCACAAGAATACACTAGAGGTAAAATAAGGCTATCCTAATAACATGTCAAAATACTGAAAGACTACTCTGGATTGATGCTAAGATGATAGAGACAAAACGCACAACAAAACTAAGCACACCCAACTTACATGTCCTTCAGAATCATCTTCATCAATTACCTCCGTCTGGCATCTTCCATTTCGGTCAGATTCTAGTTGTTGCAGAAACTGACTAGCCTGTAACAGTATGAAAAGATTACAAAACAATAAGAATCACAAAATGCATCATTGCCACCCACGTCTTACCCACACTAAGACCAAACTTAATCACGAGAAAAGATTGTTTTGCACATAAGGCGTGGACAATAAGCCTTTGTGTTCTATTGTAAGCGATTGGTTTAGAGAGCCAAATTACTGTGAGTCATCATGTGGCTGGACTGAGTATACGAGACTCAGCAGGGTTTTTCGGAGCCAATCACGTTCAAGGTCAGTTTGAGACTGAGTGGGTGGAGTCACATTATTATTATTATTATTATTAGTCCCTTGGGTTCCTAGTGGAACATAGGGCTTCAGTAGCACGCCTCCAGTGACCTCTGTTCTCTGAGATCTTTTGAACCTGGTTCCACGACAGCCCACAGCCTCTCATTTCCTCCTCGCATGACCTCCTCCATGTCACCCTCGGACGTCCAACTCGTCGCTTCCCATGGGGATTCCACTCGAGGGCCTGACGCGTGATGTCCTCAGTCGGCCTTCTCAGTGCATGCCCAATCCATCTCCACTTCTTCCTGCATATTTGTTGCGTGATAGGTTCTTGGTTGGTTCGTTCCCAGAGTTCCTTGTTGCTTATTTTTTCTGGCCATCTGATCTTCAGCAGCGAGCGTAAGCAGTTGTTGATGAATGTCTGTAGTTTATTGGAAATCCCTTTCGTGACGCGCCAAGTCTCTGAGCCATACAAGAGCACTGACTTGACGTTGGTGTTGAAAATCCGTATCTTGTTCCACATGCTGAGTGCAGTGCAGAAGATCTCCACACTGGTTTCAGGCTAATGAACGCCTGTCTTGCTTTTCCGATTCTGACTTTGACGTCCTCGTCCGTCCCGCCTGTAGTTGAAACAGTGCTTCCTAGATAAGTGAAGGAGGTTACTTCCTTCAAGTTTCTCCCGTTGACGGTGATTGGAGTTTGTTGTTGTTGTTGATGGTGGTGGTGCGGTATCTTCATCACTTCTGTCTTCTCTATATTCACCTGAAGTCCCGTCTTAGCTGCCTCTTCTGTCAACTTGTTAGTTTTTGCCTGCAGATCTTCAAGTTTATGTGACATTAGGCATAAGTCATCGGCGAAATCCAAGTCTTCTAGGTTCTTTTCCGTCGTCCAGTGTATCCCCCTCTTCTCGCTGCCTACTGTTTGCTGCATGATCCAGTCCACCACAATAAGGAATATCATGGGGGATAGTAGGCAACCTTGTTTCACTCCTGTCTTCACTTCAAAGGCATCACTGAGCTTCCCATTGTGGATTACTTGGCATGTGGCATCTTCATATAGTTGTTGAATGAGGCGGATAAAGGTTTGCGGTACTCCGTAGTATTGAAGCAGTTTCCAAATTACTTCTCGGTCGACGCTGTCAAAGGCCTTCTCAAAGTCGATGAAGTTGAGGTATAGAGCTGATTGCCATTCTACGCTCTGTTCTATGATGATACGAAGCGTTGCAATTTGGTCAGCACATGATTTGTACTTCCTGAAGCCTGCCTGTTCCGGTCGCAGTTTTGAATCCAGTGCGTCTTTAAGCCTCTCCAGGATGATGCGGCTTAATATTTTACTTGGGGTGGATAGGAGAGTGATTCCGCGCCAGTTCTTGCAAGCACTGAGGTCTCCCTTCTTCGGCAGTTTGACAAGGTAACCCTTCTTCCAATCGTCAGGTACCTTCTCTTCCCTCCACACCTTCTGCAATAGTGGTGTGAGCATGTCCGCTGTTGTCTCTGCATCTGTTCTCAGTGCTTCTGGCGGTATTCCATCTGGTCCTGCTGCTTTCCCGCATTTCAGTAGCTTTATGGCGTTCAGGACTTCCATTTTCGTTGGGGGATTTATGTTCACTTGTAATTCAGCGGCTGCAGGTGGTATTTCTGGACGAAGTGCAGGTGGTGGTGGTCGATTCAAGAGCTTCTTGAAGTGGTCGGCCCATCGTTTCCTCTGTTTCTCTTCTTTTGTAATTAAATTTCCTTCTTCATCTTTTATTGGTTTCATCTGTGTTGGTCTCTTCCCTGATAGCAACCTGGTTATTTGATACAATGTCGTCAGGTCTCTCTTACCTGCAGCCTGTTCTGCTTCACTTGCCAGTGTTCGTAGAAGTGTCTTTTGTCTTTGCGTGCACTCTTCTTCACTTCTTTATCCAGTGTTTTATACATTGTGCTCAGTTCCTCTTGTCGTTGAGCATCCTTGCACTGGTTTATCTTCTGCTTCACCATCCTCCTCTCCTCTATCAGCTTCCAGGTATCCGTCGAGATCCATTCCTTGTCTTCTTTCTTCTTCCTTCCTAATACTGTTGTGCAGGTTTCTTTCCACATAGCTTTCAAAGACTTCCAGTGTTCTTCTACACAGGTTTCTTCAGGGATGTCCCTCGACGTCTCCCATTTTGTCTTGATGGCTGCTTTGAAGATCTCCTTTGTAGTTTCATCCTTCAGTTTCCGAGTGTTGTACTTGAATTGAGGTCTATCACCAGCTTCCTTGAAGGCTTTTAACTTGATTTGGAAGGTTCCTTGCACTAGATAGTGGTCTGAACCTACATCTGCTCCTCTTCTTGACCTTGTGTTAAGTAGACTGCGTCTCCATTTTCTTGAGATTGAGATAAAGTCGATTTGATTTTTAGTGTGTCCATCTGGTGAAGTCCATGTCGCTTTGTGGATATCCTTGTGCCTGAACACACTGCCTCCAATCACCAAATCGTTGAATGCACAGAATTCTGCAAACAATTCTCCATTCTCATTCATTTCACCTAGCGCCTCTCGACCCATGGTTAGTTCTCTTCCCGTGTTGTCCCCTCCCAGTTTGGCATTCATGTCGCCCATTAGAATTTTGATATCGCCAACTGACGTCTTGTCCAGTGTTGACTGAAGTTGTCTGTAGAATTCCTCCTTTTTCTCTTGCTCTGCATTATTTGTAGGTGCATAACATTGTATGATTGTGACCTTTCTTCCTTTTGAGTTGAATCTTGCTGTCATGATCCTGGAGGAGATTGGTTCCCACTGCATGAGAGCCTTCGATGCTCTTGAGGACATCATGATAGCCACTCCCTCAGTGTGCTCGTGGTTGGCGTCTGGGTGACCGGAGTAGATTATTGATTCTCCAGTTGACAGTTTGGAGAGTCCACTCCCATTCCATCTGCTTTCGCAAATCCCAAGCACTTCGATGTTATACCTTCTCATCTCCTTTGCAATCTGGGCTGCCTTACTGGGTTCAAACATCGTGCGGACATTCCATGTCCCCACGTTTACTTTCGCTTTCATCGAGAGAAGACACATCGGCCAATTGGCTTCCCGAAGGCTTTCACCAACTGGCGTCATTTCGCCTCTCCGATTCCAGCGGGGAATAAGTTTGTTTTCATTTTTTATATTTTGTTTGTGCTTTGAAGTTTCTTTAGCGGTTAGATTTGTTTTACGGGGTAGGGTTGCTAGCCCTATGCCCAACCTTCCCTCTTTACCCGGGCTTAGGACCGGCTAGTAACTAGTAAACTAGTTAACCAGGCGAGGTTGGGTGGAGTCACATGCTTACCACAATTAAAACCAGGCAAAGCTATAATACATACAAGTTAGGGAATAGGAATTTAGGCAAAAGCTTCTTGTATAAAAGCTGGGTATACTACATCGATGTCAGGATTGAAATGAAAGTAACTCGGGCTTTGACATTTTAATAATCATTTACGAATTTCCCACATATCTGAACCATAACGATAAAGCGCTTTGACTGTATGGACATGCAGTTTTGTAGAAAGTAACACCTCTCAACCTAGCAAAGAGGAATACGATGTTACGGGAATTTTTGCTGCATCTGTTCCTTAGCTTCCAATTCTCTTCCTAATAGTTAAATTTAGACAGTTTAATGTAAATGCCCATCTGCTTTCTGATAAGTAGATCGAAAAAAACTAGTCCGGAAATGGACCAATCAAAACGTAGTTTGTGTCAATCACGTCTACAGTTAACTGACGAATAATCGATAAATCAATTAATTTTATCTTAAAAGCCAGACTATGTGTATTAATTAGATACATTCTCGTTTGTTTATGTTCACTTCGGGCCTATGGTATGAATACATGTCCCTACATGTTTCATTGTCTTAGTCGAGTCGGGGGAATCAACTAGGAAGTTATTGAACGTTGGTGGCTGACAGTCGATATCTGTTTATCGTTAGTGACTGAAGCAGTTTGAAATCAGATTCCTTGTTCAACAAAATGAGAGTAGGATTGTCCTGAGAAGTAAGACTTCTGTTGCACAGAAGAAGTACAGCTTATACCTATATAGAAGTTACATATTTTACTAGTAGACATACCAATTGCTACAGCAACTGTAGTGTAACATCATAGTAATCCATAACCCTGTGCAGTTAATTAATTACTGAGAAAAGAATACCAGAAGAGACTACAGTCAGTCTCATTAAGCAAGCATTGTTCTATGAATGAACAATAAACACAAAGTTTCAGATAATCACATTACAAAAGTAGAAACACATCTATGAGAACATTGCAGGAAATCAATAGTTTGTTTTGCAAACAACCCTAGTTAACATTGACAGTAAAATAAACTGCATTCACTTCTACCACGATCGTACTGATTATTCAGTTACCCGCTCAGTTACAGTTATAAAAATTCCAATAAATCAGAGTTATTAGTAGACAGTTAGTTCGGCGAAAAATTAGTTACGAAATAGAAATGAACTCTGGATTGATGATATGCTGCGTAAACGTCTCACTGGTGTATGTGTGTGTGTGTGTGTGTGCAGCAACTTATGGAACAGCGACTCGTTGGTTGAAACAGTAGACCTTCAACCCTTGGGTTGTGGGGTCGAACCCAAATGCCAGGGAGTGGGTAACTAGATAGTACCACTAGCCCTTACACATTGCCTATTGGACGCGTGTACACGTGGTTGCTGAGTGCACTTCATGTGCCAACAGTTAAAACAAGTTGAAAGTGCAGGCTTTTGACTAGAAAACTCAGATTCTATGTTAAAGATATTCTATATCATTACAGTTTAAAAGATCATGGGCATGCTTTTAGTTACGGTCACTGCTCTTCCACGACCAACTAATATCTGTAATTGAATTGGGGGTCTGTCGGGACTTAATGATTTCAAGTTGGTATTGAATATGGACTGATATTAGTTGGAGGAACATTGGGAAGGTGGGAGCACCGGACAGCTGTTTCGTCGTAGTATGGGGCTCCTTAGAAGTCCAGACCCATGAACTCGACTCGTCAGGGATCGAACCCAGAACTTTCAGGTCCCGTGACCAGCACGTTATCATTCAACAACTGGATCGAAATCCAACCGTCCACATTTCCTACTTCTGTCAGTTGGCGATATAGCACAACCTACATCCATTGTCGTCATTGAGTAACTGTCCTCATGTTCGACTTGGTCTACTCCACTGGTCACAACTTTTGATTGGAACTTCAGGAATCACAAATGAGCACAATATTCTTTTTGAAATTGATAGAAATTCCAAGAATGTTAGGTGTGCCTTTTTAGACTATACTTCAGCATGTGATTTTGTCCCAAGACCTCTCTCGTTGCACAAGCTAGACGGGATTCATACGCAGTCCTAGACAATCAACAGGCTGTATTCTTAATTTCCTGAAAGGAAACAATATACTGTTCACAGAGGTATGCACACCAACTCATTGTAATCAGCGATCATTTCCCCTCATCTTTTCTCTTTCTTTCTGCATGACTTATCATCTTCACCTAGCATCAATTTTGTCAACTATGTTGATGACCTGACAGTTTCCATATCTGTCTCCTCTTCAGTAGATTCTTCCCAACTAAATTATTTCCTATCTACTGATGGATGTTGTCCGTCTGTAAATGGTCTTGTGTTTAATTCTTCAAAATGTCAGAGCATAAACCTCAGTTTCAGACGTGAACATAACCTATGTAAACCGCTTCTTTCTCATGAATCCTGCCCCATCGATGGTTGTGCATTGGAGAATGTTACAAGTATGACTTATCTTTTTTTTCAGACCTTTCGCTATCCTCCTATATCTTACTATATTATTACTATTATTTGTCCCTTGGGTTTATAGTGGAACATAGGGATTCAGTAGTACATCTCAATTCCACTCTCTTCTCTACAGTCTTTTCAACCTGCCTCCACCACTGCCCACAACCTCTCATTTCTTACTCACACCACCTCCATGTGTCACCCTCACCTCGGACGCCTTACTCGCCGTTTCCCATCTCGGTTACACTCGACCACCTCGTCTGGTGCGTGTTGTCCCCGAATCGTCTTCTCACTCCATGCCCAACCCATCTCCACTTCTGCATACTTGTTGAGCGATAACTTCTTGCTTCGTTGATTCCTTGCCAGTCAGCCAGAGTTCCTTGTTGCTTATTCTTATTACTCTGGCCATCTGACCTTCGGTAACGAGCGTAGACAGTTGTTGATGAATATCTGTAGTTTGTTGGAAATGCTTTTCGTAACGTGCCAAGTCTCTGAACCATATACATATCCCCCTATATCTTACTAATTACGAAAAGAATTTTCCGCATAACTTTGAATATTAGAAAGCTGAGAGTATCTGGCATAAATTAGCCTCTCTTCTTCTTCTCTCTCAGGTTTCTGAAAGAAGAGTACACTGTATTGTGTAGAACTTTGAAGATTATCACTGGAACTAGTGGTGTACCCCTAAACCTTCTGGTCAAAACTGTTGTAGGCAAACATTTTAACTCATGTAGACATATTGCAGGAGTTATTTTATCATATGACCAGCATCATCTTCACTCAAAGTTCTTTGCGTGTTAGTCAACTGGAAAGACAAGGAACAAGTATGTAAGGACAACTAATTAACTTGTGTTTTTGAAAGTAAACTATTTGATGAGTATGTTATTATTTATGTATTATGAGTCTAATTGCTAATGTGATTGTCTACTTGAGTTAACTATGCATTTTTAAGATAGAGTGAATATTCTTATCTTTTATGTGTATAATTTCTACTTATTTCATTTTGCTATGAATGTATACCTATACACTAGTTCCGTCCAGATGATGCTGTGTGACATGCTGAAAATATTGCAGGATATTCCCGAAATACCTTTCAGAATAAAGCCATTATTATTATTATTATTATTACTAGATGTTTATCCCTGCACTCTTATTTAGTTCCATCATCTTTTGTTCATATTGCCTATTTTTAACTAAGTGAGTGTAATTCACAATATTTTGCTTATCTATCGTATATCTGCCTACGCTCGTTAGCGAAGGTCAGATGGCCAGAATAATAAGAATCAGCAACAAGGAACTCTGGCTGGCTGGCTGGTAAGGAATCGACGAAGCAAGAAGCTATCGCTCAACAAGTATGCAGAAGTGGAGATGGGTTGGGCATGGAGTGAGAAGACGATTCGGGGACAACACGCACCAGGCCAGGTCGTCGAGTAGAATCCAGGTGGCAAACGGCGTGTTGGATGTCCAAGGCGAGGGTGACATGGAGGAGATGGTGTGAGGAAGAAATGACAGCTTGTAGGCTGTCGCAGAATCAGGTTCAAAAGATTGGAGAGAAGAGAGTGGAATTGAGATGTGCTACTGAATCATTATGTTCCACTATGAACCCAAGGGACAAATAATAATCGTGTAACCTACTTACGTAATCCTATAATGGTAGATCACTCAATATTTTGACTACTACTCATGTCATTATATTTATTCAAGAAATATCCATTGGATTATGAATATAATTGTGACTCTGCCTTAAGTTAAACGTTATAATCAACTTACACTCTATGGTAATTTCTGTTCGTCTTAACCACTAACCGATATTGTGCTATATTTCAGTGAATTAAGGTATGCTAGTAGAAGGCTTTCACCAACCGGCGTCATTTCGTCTCTCCGATTCCAGCGAGGAATAAGTTGGCTTTCGAGTTTTATATTTTTTTTGTGCTTTGAAGTTTCTTTAGCGATTGGATTGGTTTTATGAGGTAAGGTGGCTAACCCTAGAGCCAAACCTTCCCTCTTTACCCGGGTTTTGAACCAGCTAGTAACTACTGAACTAGTTAACCAGGCGATGTTATTACACCGTCGTTGATTGAACTGAATTGATCAGCCTCTAATGGTAAATGGGCTTTTGTACGGATAGCTCGATACTGCCTGTGTTTTAATTACATATAGTAATGATTGATAGTGACCGATTGCAGGTACATCCAGCTGACGAGTCCCAAACAGGACGAAACACGCATTTTAGATTCCACTGCTAGCCACTATCTTTCGTCCAATTAGGGACTCATCAGCTGAATGTACCTGCCTCCAAGTGAGTGATGTTGTTCCCACCGGGACTCGGACTCGGGAGCGATCGCTTCAAACGTCAGAGCGTTATCCACTACACCACCGAGCCACTATAGACACTTCTTGTGCGACGAGTATAATTTCAGTCTTACTGCTTGTATTATACCATCGTTGATTAGATTGTTTGAAAGCTGAGTGTAACAATAATAAGCATAGACCAACTGGATTGAAGAATACCATTGAACAATACACACTTACTCTGAATTTTTCTTCTTTACTTGAACCACGTCCATTCCATTGGAATCCTTTATCACCCATATCCAAAATGAAAACATCTGTTGAATTTAGTGAACGTCTTGAAAGTGGTACTTCAAGTAATTCCATATGTTTACGATCAGTTGAATGGAATAACAACAGACGTGGTTTATATTCATTCGGTGTCACATGATTGAATCCACTAGTATAACCACCAGCAAGAGTTCTGAATATTTTATATAAAAGTAATAGTAAATTTTAAAAATTATTTTTTTCAATATTCACTAAAAATTTAAACAAATTTATGCGGTAGATTACACATCACCTAAGGTGTAATTTTAAAGATACTTACTAGCTCATAAAACCCGAGACTTCTTTATTGAATTAAATATGAAAGTTTGTGAGGATTTAGAGATTTTTCAAGTTGTTATTCATTATGGATTGACATCAGTTAGAGAAACATTGAAAACCTGTTTCGTTCCACATCTGTGGGACTCTTCAGCAGTGCGCACCCACGATCCCCACCCGTCACGGACCCAACCCACCACCTTCAGCTCCCGCACCCAGCATCTTACCATTCAACCACTCAGTCCGAATCCAATCATCCATATTTACAACTTATGTCATTTCACCAAATAGCACGACCATCACACTCAATGTCATCGTTCAGTATTTGTTCTCATGTCCACCAGGTTTCACCCATTCATCACGACTTGTCATTTCAACTTCAGGAATCCCTTCTAAAAGGTAGTCACCAATGATGACTAGATGCATTGAACTTGGGGTTTTATGGGGATTTCGAGATTTTTCAAGTTGGTATTTGTCATCTTTATTTATTATTCCATCACCATCAAGTTAGGTGACTTCAACAATATCAGTCTGATGAATACAAGTTTATTTTTGAAATAATAGATGGTAGTTCGATGTTCTTTGAACTTTTTTATCCTGTCGTGAAAAGTTTCATCACTAGGCGCTTAGCAACATACTGAGCATTAACTTCACTTAAAGAATAGGACTTCTATGGGAAGTTAACGATGAGGATATCATCAAACCTGGTGATGAAATGTAAAACCTGGCAAAATACCAAAGTTGAGAGAGCACCAAACTATCACCAAGTTTATTTCTAGTATTTGAACGCGTCGTTAGCTGTTACTTACTCCTCGGAACTCTTTTTCTCTATTGCCCATAAAATTGTCAACTTACTGGCTTGATTATTTATTCTTGTTTTTAGTAAAGGTACCAGCGTTTTCTCAATCGGACTTTGCTAACTGGGTATATGTTTTTGTTTGATGTAATAAGTCTCAGTACATTCAACTGACGAGTCTCAAGTGAGACGATACATGCGTCTTGGATTACAGCGCTAGTCACCATCAAGTAAACTACAGTTTATGATGGTCAGCACTTAGTCAAATGATTTCTGTCATATCCTATCTCTTTATGCCTAATTGATCGTCGTATATTTTTTAAGTTGTTTCATCATGGCAAAATGATCTGATTGAATGGTTATTACAACCTTCAAAATTGTTGATTTAAATCTTATTTTTGGGATGAATGAGGATTTCTAATTTAGAGGTAGTATTCATCATGGACTGACATCAGTTGGGGAACCATTGAGAACCTGTGAGCACGGGACAGCTGTTTTGTCCTAGTATGGGACTCCTCAGCGGTATGCACCCACGACCCCGCTAGGGATCGAGCTTAGGACCTTCAGGTCACAAGGCGAACGCGCTAACCATTCAGCCACTCGGTCGATCTTCAGTGGTTCACAATTTCCAACTTTTGCCAATTCACGATATAGTGCGACTATCACCGAAGTTCATCAGTTGGCATCCGCTTCCCTTCTGACTGGCTGACCCCACAGTTTCGATCCCTAGACGAGTCGTGAGTGCGTACAGCTGTCTGTTGAACGATACTCTAAAGTGACTAAAACCAAAGCACTACGCCAAACGTGTACACATATGGCAATGATTAGAGTGGTGTTTAGATATTCTTGGGGTAGAATGAAATATTCTGTTCGATGTACAGAGTTGTGTTCAACTATGAAGAAGTATTCATGTTGTTTGTATAATTTGTTGGTTTCAAAACTTCTCAGAACTAGGGTTTCATTTGAATTTTGAAGACGGACGGAGATAGAGAAGGTGTTTATTAGTATGGATTTGGCCATCTAAGCTAGGGAGAAAAGCTTGGTTTCGAAATCTTGATAAGATAGTACATACCTATCACTTATGTTGTTTGAATACTTGCGTTTCTCATGGGGTATTGAACTGAATTAAAGGCTATCTCAGTGTAATCCTTTCTGTAATGCACTTATCATCAGTAAGCTCATAAACTAAAGTAATGGATGACCAAACAAAGAGTTCTGGGTATGTCTACATACTATCTGTTTTCGGCATATTCATTTCAACCTACTCCCCTGAAAATGAATGTACAGTCATTCTTTGATGTACCCTGTACAAGATTACGTAATGATACCGCATAACGCTTGTTTGGATCCTCTGAATTAACTTTGTAAACATATTTTGAGTATTTAATTAGACTAATCAACCAATGAAACGTTGAGTTGTTAGTCATAACGAATAATTATCCAAATTTTTAGGAACAACCGGTTAAATCCTTTCGCATTTGTTTAATAAACAATAAATATTCGTAGTAAAGAAGGGTAGTTGCTAGTAAGAGGGGGGATCTAGGATAATTTTTGAGGGACTCGTCCACTGGATGTACCCAATCATCTCAATGAGAAAGCTGACAACTCCTAAATTCCGATGCTAACCAACTTCTATCCTTACCATCAAACTGAAATTGCCGGCAATATAGAAGCATTCTCTTCATCATAAAAGCCTATATGCAAATGGTAGGGTGAGCAGTTGGTCTGGTCTATACCAACTAGGCAACTGCCCACCTCTGACGTTGCAGACATTTTACACACTATAGTACCATATTTCGACACATTTCAAACTAAATTACTGTATAGTGCTCATTGATGAGATGCTTCGAGATAGGATTTCCGGAATTTGTAATGATAAGACACTCATCATAGGTGGGGTCAACCAAGTCGGAAGTGAAGCGGATACCAACTGAAGATCTTGGTGGATAGTGGCGCTACAACACGACTGTGGACTAGTGAGTGGGTACTGTTGATAAATAGTATTCTAGGAGGTAACAGGTGGTTTCAATGCTTCTCCAACTGAATACCAACTTGAAGTCAATAAATAAGTCCCAACAAACTTCCAAATAATATTAACATAGTAGTCGGGTAAGACCCTTTGTGATTGAAGGGAAATAAAATTTTGGTCAACAGTCAAACCTCGTAGCTCAGTTGGGTAAAGCACTGGGCCGGCAACTCGGTGGTCACTGGTTCGAATCCAGCCACGGTCCAGATCTCCACCCAGTATAAATACCGACCTGTCAAACTACGGCTATCTCAGATAGTCAAAATAGAATCAATATGATGCTCCCCCTCTCTGATCCAGTTAGATTTGGATTGGGATGAGAAGTCCTGACTGAGAGCGGCCAGTGTAGTAACGCATCACGGATTCACATACTAGTCAGGCAAAAAAAATAAAATTTTGGTCAGCAGTCCAACCTCGTAGCTCAGTTGGTAGAGCACCGAGCCGATGGTCGCTGGTTCGAATCCGGTCACGGTGCATATTTTTATCTCACCTTCAATCATCACCCAGTAGAAATAAAACAAAGGGATAGCAAGTAATTTAACCAATCGAAATAAATGAAGATAGGAACAATAAATTGTCTAGTAAAGATTAGTTTATTAAACAAATAATGCTCTATAATAATTAGTGATACGATTTTGCATAGTTTTGATTCTATTTTTCAATGATTCATCTGATATTCTGTTGACAAGAGATGATTTACTTAAGTATGTTATAATTGTCCAAAAGAATATTTCTTCTAAATTAGTATAATTTGTTCCATCCGATGTAGTACACCATAATCTCCAATTCAAGTATGCTTTGTCAAGTGGTTTAATACCTTGATAATGATGATTATTATTTGATTGAATTTTATCAATTTCTTCCTCTTTCTGTTCATTATCTTTACATGATTTATATCCAAAGCCAAGATTGATAGCAAGTTCAATCAGATTGTATTCATTACTATCATTATTATTATTATTATTACTATATTGATCACCAATTCCTAGAATAATTAATATTTGTGTTGATGTTAAACAATTTGTTAAAGCATTCAACTCTATACGTACTTCATTCCACCTTTCTTCTTCTGAATGATATGGATTGATAAGAAGAATAGAATTATCTAAAGTATTATTAAATATACGATTATCTTTTTTACGTATATCAATAGCATAAAAGATAATTTGAGCTCCAGCTAGTAAATTAATAGTATGTTGAGTAAAATTCATTGATGATGATGATGATGATGATGATGATGATTCTACTAAACAATTACCAAATAATCGACTTCCACCATAACAATATCGAATACGTGTCATTTGTTTACGTGAATGTAGAATTGTTGTATTCAATAGTATAATTTTATTATTCTCTTCACTATTATTATTATTCTCTTCATTATTATTATTATTATTATTCATTATAAAATATTTAGGTAATCGTAAAATAAATCCTTGACCAGCCCAATAATTAGATTTATGATTTTCTTTTAATTTAATCGATTGTTTATTGATTATATAATTTAAATCTATCCAATTTAATAATGTATGCATAAATCCATCAGCTAAATGAACAGTATCAATTGCTGGTCCAAATATTGCACAATTAAAACATATTGATTCATTATTCAATTTTAATAAATATGGAATAATATTAGTTTTTATTATTTCCTCTTCTAATTTCTGTATAGTATTATAATATGAATATAAATTTTTCATACAATAACTAGGATTATTTGAAATTTGTAAAATAGTATCAGTTATTTTATGATATTTTTTACTATTATTATTATTATTACAAGATAATTCATTATGATCATTCATTAATTGTACATTGAACATATTAAATGGATTCAATAGATTAATAATTTCACTATTTAACCATAAACATTTATTATTCATTTCTTTTTCATATATTGATAACCAAAGATATTTATCAGAACTGATTATATTATTCCATTGTACATTGAATAATGTACAAGAAATTAAATCTTTTCCATTAAGATATTGAAAAATTTTTAATAATAATTCATTTGGTAATTTATTGATTTGATACATTTAAACAAAAGATGACTATATACTTGTCAATCTACTACTACTACTTACTATTAACCGAAGAGATTAGACTATCATCATCATCATCATCATCTAATATATTCACACGCGTGATAAACTTGTAAACCAACTAGGCTTGAGTAATCCATTCAACCAATCAATTATTAGCTTTCTCTTTAAAAATATACACATTTTCTTTACATAAATAATACACAATGGAATGTATAGTCAATATATAAAAATGTTTAAAAGAAAAAAACAAACAAAACAATAACACTAATTGACGACCTGATTTCATTTCACTTCTACGTGGAATTACAACATGTGATGTTTTACATTTTTGTTTGTTTAATTTTTTAATAATTAAAAATTAATCTTTACTTCTGTTTTTTTATAATTTAACTATTTAAAATAGCCGTGGTTTAGTAGACTAGTAATGATAGTAAATGCGGATTGAATTACTAATATTTGTCCCTTGGGTTCATAGTGGAATATAGGGATTCAGTAGCACATCTCAATTCCACTCTTTTCTCACCCTCAACTCGGACGCCTTACTCGCCGTTTCCCATTGCGGTTACACTCGAGGGCCTGACGCGTGATGTCCCCCAGTCGTCCTTCCCAGTGCATGCCCAATCCATCTCCACTTCTGCATATTTGTTGAGCGATAGCTTCTTGCTTCGTTGCTTCCTTGCCAGCCAGCCAGAGTTCCTTGTTGCTTATTCTTATTAATCTGACCATCTGAGCTTCGGTAACGAGCGTAGATGAATATCTGTAGCTTGATGGAAATGCTTTTTGTAACGTGCCAAGTCTCTGAGCCATACAGAAGCACTGAATTGACTGGAATGGTGTTGAAAATTCGGATCTTGTTCCATATGCTGAGTGCAGATCTCCACACTGGTTTCAGGTTAATGAACACCTGTCTTGCTTTCCCGATCCTGGTTGGCTTTGACGTCTTCCTCTGTGATTGTGCCACCACTTGCAGTTGAAACAGTGCTGCCTAGATAGGTGAAAGAAGCTACTTCCTTTAAGTTTCTCTCCTTCATGGTGATTGGAGGTTGTTGTTGTTGGTGGTGGTGGTGGCACTGGTTGGTTATCTTCATCACCTCTGTCTTCTCTATATTCACTTGAACTCCCGTCTTCGCTGCCTCTTCTGTTAACTTGTTAGTTTTCGCCTGTAGATCTTCAAGTTTGTGTGACATCAGACATAAGTCATCAGCGAAATTCAAATCTTCTAGGTTCAATGTACATTGAAGGTGAAATGAAAATTTGAACTGCAGTAGGATTCGGACCAACAACCTGGTTGTCTACAAACTGAACTACAACGACCAGCTTTTGATCAGATTTTTATTTTACTTCAATGACCATGAGTTTTACCTGACTTACTATCTGAATTGTTGATGAGTTACTATAGCTTGATTGTACTGACACTGCCTGCCACCAATCAGGACTTCTCATTTTAAATCAAATCTAACTGCATTAGAGACAGGGGGTAAACCTTTGCTGATTGAAATGAAATAAAAATCTGATTAAACAGTTGAACCCCGTAGATCACTCAGTTGGTGCATTATCGAGTCAGAAACCCAACGGTCGCTGGTTCGAATCCGGTCGCAGTCTAAATTTCTATTTCACCTTCAATCATCACCCAATATCAATACTAGCCTACCAAACCACGGCTGCTATCTCAGATAGTCAAAAATGCTAGTCAATATGATACTACTCCTTCTCTCTAGTTCAATTAGATTTGGATTCAGATAACAAGTCCTGACTGGTGGCGACCGGTTTGAGTACGATCAAGCTATAGTAACCCATCACGAATTCACACGGTTATCGGGTAAAAATTTGTTCAGCAGTCAGAATTCATAGCTCATTTAGTAGTGCATCGGGTTCGAAACCCAGTGTATCAATAAACATGACCATTGAGATAAATCATTAGACAAAAGAAATGAAACAATATGATCCTAGTAAACAATACTACATAAAACTGTTAGAATAACCAAATATACTCATAATTGTTAAGAAAGCTATTGTAAAATGTGACATATTTCATAATATAACTACCACCAACTAGGGGGTGGTACAAAAGAACATAGAACCAAATTTATATTGAAGCTAAGCGAATAAACTTTAAACTTACTCAAAATGACTGAAATAGGTTTTAAACAATTCTGACTCGAATCCATCAACTTCTCGATGTTGAACTGCTTTGTCATCAAGAAATGTATCCAATTCCACTGTTTTGTAGGCTGCAGTTCCATATTCATCCTGAAAGAACCATTGAAAGAGTAGATAAACAGAATGAAGCAATTGTAGAGTTAAAGGTATTCCCTTTCCTTTGGAAAGCGGGTCATCATTCGACTAATGATATTTCGATCATTTATCTTGGCGCTCGACTTCCAATAGACTGCAGGCTGATTTTGAATCCAACCAGTTATTATCATTAACCTTCAAGGAATATATGTAGCTTACTGATCAGTTACGACCTAATGGCATGAGCCTAAACGAGCTGGTTGCTGACAAAATCTCAGCTTGGATATAGAATGACCGTTTGCCATCACCCAGTTTGGGTCATCCCTAGAACTAACTGAAGAGATATCTGAATATCTGTCAAAGGATGGATATACTCCGTTTCTGTCCATTCTGTTCTGTTATATGGCTGTGAGAATCACCGTATTAGAAATGTAGACATTAGGTAAAGGGCAAGTCAGTTGACGAGGTTGTGAACTTTCACCGACTGAAATGCCTTGAACATGTACATGCCAAACCACCGCCTACCTCAACCGGCAGTCCTATGGGAAATCAGACTAGGTCGTAATACGATTAAGGATGGCTAGAACAAGACGTGACATCAGTCAATGAAGTCCGTGACTCTTGGTATGAGCTGTATGGGTGTATGTAGACTACCTGGCTAAGGTCCTGGAGATGATAGGAATCAGCCATAGTGGCACAGATGTATTCAATCCTTGGCATCTTCTGAAGCTTGAATATTTCCACTAACCTTTAACTTTAAACTGTTTATTCTCTCACCTAGTTTTCTCTATTTTGATATCACTCTTTTTCTATCCACCTGTTCCTTGTATACTACGGTGAAGTGTGCCAACTTGTGTACGAGGTTCTACATTGATTTCGTCTGTTTGTTTGTCTATCGGCGCTGGATGTACTTTCGTTAGAAATTATATTAAAAGATAGCGTAGTTATCTCTCCTCCTTCTGTTAGTTGGAATAAGTGGCGATGTGATATAATTGGCTTAAAAGCACTCAACTTTTGAGCAATGCAGTTCAGGTTTCAGCATTGTACCACTTAATTCAGCCTGGATAAATGAGTAACCTAAAGTGCAGTACATAATCATGTACAGGATTGTGTCTCATTGTTTACTATTTATTCGGAATGAATACAATATAAGCACCTAGACAGCTTATTGATAGGCTGTACGAATAAGCCATTCAGTGGCACCTGTTGAGATTTCTTAGACATTATTAGTTTCTTCTAGGTTATAGATGCTTCTCTGTTGTATCCGTCCTGACTAAGAAGGAGAGTAATAACTAATCAATCATGAATATCCTTAACTGGTCTATCTTTTGTTATCATACTTTGACATTCTGATTACGCCCCCAACGCTTCTAAGACCTTGTACATCTTCCATATATTTTGTTAAATACAATCTAATTGTATACTGTCTACCTTTGCATCCTCTCAGAGTCAGATGGTGTGACGTTAGGGGTACTATGACCAACTTATAAATAGTAACTCGAGGTAGTGTAGGACCAACATTAGGCATTTCCCTCAGTTTGTTAATCATAGGACCAAATAAGAAACTGAAATCGAGGTTACTATCAGTAATAACGGCGATAACGTCACAAGTCAAGGATATAAACAACCTTTTGTTGATTAGTATTAAGAAGAATGAAAACCAAACAAAACGATTCTACAAGTTGGCATTCATCATAGACTGACGTCAGTTGAAGAGACATTGGAAAGCTAGGAGCATTGGACAGCCGTTCCGTCTAAGTATGGGACTCTTCAGCAGTGCGCACCCACGATCCCCACCCACCACCTTCAGCTCCCGCAGCCAGCATCTTACCATTCAACCACTCAGTCCGAATCCAATCATCCATATTTACAACTTATGTCATTTCACCAAATAGCACGACCATCACACTCAATGTCATCGTTCAGTATTTGTTCTCATGTCCACCAGGTTTCACCCACTCATCACGACTTGTCATTCGAACTTCAGAAATCACTCCTAAAAGGTAGTCACCAATGATGACTAGATGCATTGAACTTGGGGTTTTGTGGGGATTTCGAGATTTTTCAAGTTGGTATTCATCATGAACTGACATCAGTTGGAGGAACATTAGGAACATGTGAGCACTGGACAACTGTTTCGTCCTAGTATGATCAATACCAACTTGAAAAATGTCTAAATCCCCACAAACGCTTAAATTCAATTAAACAATTCTCATCGACCACCTCTAATGATTAAATGCCACAGAAACGATACAGTAACGAGGTCGTGATACTCGGTGTAGTGGCTACATCGTGAAAATGGCTATGAAACAAGCAGTATAATGATTATTATTTACATGAATGCATTCCTGTATACTCAAAGTTTTTATGTTGGTACATGTTGACAGTTCATTTGTATTGCAGTACAGTTATGAAATCAACTGCCGGTAAAAAAAGTCACTCAGTTTAGTTATCCTTCACTGATCGCGTACTTTTTTATTCGGTATAAAAAATCCCTACGCTCTACCTACCTGATGCAATTTTCTCACCGAAAGGGTTAAACATCAGCTGACGAACTACTATGTGTCAGTATTTGCATATTGGGAAGCCTATTTTTATTCTGAATTCTAATCATAGTTCATGTCGAAAAGTTGGTCTGGTCATCGACTAGTTAAATTCCATTCCACTCCAGATGATCATCATCACCACTATCATTAATATTAACATAGGATCAGTTACTACTGCATAGCCGGTCAATCTTTCACACATATCAGCACATTAAGCAACAAAGCAATAAGATGAAAGATGAAGAAATAGAGACAACCTGGTCAAAAGCAGTGAAAGAAAGGAAGGGGGAATGAGAAAATGCTGAAAATGCGCCACTGACATCGATTCTGAGGCATATCACCTAGAGTCTCCAACTACTGTTTTCTGTTGTCATATGGACCCGAATCGGCTAATCAGCATCTCCCTACACCACTCAGACAAACGCTCAAGGACCTCACGCACTGGTGCCAAGCTCTAGTCTAACTGCTCAAAGCCTTTATCTAGCCCTAAAATACTTCAGCTAGCATTGCGCGACTAGGTACAAGGTGATTAGATATATCTAGCAGATGTCCCATCCATTCCAGTCGATGAATGTTCACAACCGCATCGAATGACTTTCTTCTCCTCCAAACAAATTTACACCTGACTTCTGTGTTACTGAAATGCAGACACCATAACAAAGAGCCAACGATACGAAGCAAAAGTGGTCGGAAACCAGAAGCCTTATTATGTTCTTTACTTTAAATGACCATGTTTCACAGACGCACAGTAGAGCTGAGCGAACTCCAGTACCGTACACTCTACCCTTAGTCGACAATCGGATATCATAGCGGCAGCACTGATGGGATAACTTTGTGAAAGCCAACCGAGCCTTTTGTATCCATGCAGGGATTTCGCGAGCAACTAATCCACCAGGGCTGATTCGAATTCCCATGTAAGTGAAGTGTTCAGCACACTCAACCACTTCACTCTCTACCGTTAGTCAGGACACCACTGAAAACCAGTCTTGAAGCGACAAGTTGCATATGGATGACGAAAAAATGGCATCTTAAACATCTTCAAATTGTCACTCAAGGTGTCCAAACAACTGTGCATTTTGACAATGTCTACACCTAATAGGACTATGTCATCTGTGTATTCTAAGTACACCAAGGATTCTGTGACTAGATGAATTCCCGTGGAGTCAGACAACGAGGGAGACCTCCATAAGGATGTCTATGACAAAATTGAACAGGAATGGAGAGAGTAGATATCCTTGACGGACACCACTCGATGTACATAGATCACCAGACAACTCACCATAGGTCATAACATGCCCATAGATGTTCCAGTAAAGAGTGTTCAACAGAGTCACATACTTATTTACGACCACTTTCAGTGAGAAACACTGTCATACATAGAGATGGTCAACAGAGATTATGTATAAATGGTCAAACTATAAGTGGAAAACAAAAAAAAACATACACAAATCTGTATACAAACTTACTGCAGTGCTTTCACGTCCAATCCAAAAATGAACATCGTATAACAATTCATCACCAACTTTATCAGTACTCAAAATAATATACGAGTCCCCACGAAAAAATTTACCAACATCTTCAGGTCGAACAACTTCTAACTTGAAATTCTAGGATAATTAGTACGATAGGAAGTATTACATTAAAAATGTTTTCAAAAAAAAGGAGATAAAAGTTTAGTTAAACAAAATAATCCACTTTTACAAAAAGATACATTTAACTGGAAACTTAATTTTGGAGTGAATTCAGTTGCTGCAGTGTAGTTGGATAGATGAGTTTAACAAGGATTCTATGTCGAAGGGATAGTGTACCCTCCTTAGCTTTCTATAGCTCACAATCAATCCTATCATTAAAACTTGACCTTTTGTCCAGAAAGAAGTTAAGGATAGTAGAGAATAAACTATCAATCATTCGGTATCAATATGCGATCTAGTATAAGTGTGTGTAATGATTCAAGAGAGGAAATCGGAAGAATTTAGCCAAAACTCATAGAAAATTAGGACAATAGAACAAGAAGCGACAACACAATAATGACAATTAAAATGAGTATGGTGTAAGGATACATTTTCGACAGAGATCGATTCTGAGCCGTATCACTAAGTTTCCAACCACTGATCTGGGTTAACATGCGGTGAGTCTCCATTTGGACATTTATTACACACGCCTAGTCACCATCTGCCCCACCCGTCAATACTTGCTGAAGTACGTTCAGGCTTGAAAAAGGGTAACGGTGGTCAAAGTAGAACGTGGCATCAGTCCATGAAGTCGTTGACTGTTGATCTGGACCGTGGGTAGACGGAAGCACGCAACTCGCCTGTCTGTTTTACTTAAAAATCTACACCTAACTTCTGCTTTACTGACTTGGTGGTCCCGTAATTATACTGCCAACACTAAGAAAGCGATGGTGGTCAAACACCCGAAGCCTTCTCACGTCCTCCATCACTAATGACTATGTTTCACAGTGATAAAGTAGAATAGAGAGAACTTCAGTTGCGTGTAAGCCAATAATTCTACTCTCAGAGAAATACCAGCTACGTGGAAATTCGAACATTAAGTCGCTATGATGAGACAGTAAGAGTGAACAGCGAATCGAAATCAAAATATATTCAAAACAACTAATCAGCAGTAAAATTCCGCTATACTTCGCTTCGCACAGGTCATTACAATCAAAAGATTGCAGCTTGATCATAGTATTCTGAAGTAATCACTGATTGACCTTCAAATATCTTATACTCATCTTGGTGACTAGCCGAGGAATCCAGGACGCGCGTTTTGGCCTAGTCAGGACTCGTCAGCTGGATGTATCTGCACATCAGTGAGTGTTCCCATTGAGACTCGAACCCGGGGCGTATCACTTCAAACGCCAAAATGTTATGCACAAACCCCACTTAGGAACTATAGCCACCTCTCATGCAACAGGTATCAGTTATTGTTATGAAAATTGCAATTTACTCATGCTATCATAACAACAACTGATACGCGTTGCACAAGAGGTGGCTATCGTGACTTCGTGCGTTTGTGGATTAGGCCGTGACGTTTGAAGCGATGCTCTCTGGGTTCGAATCACAGTGGGAACACTCACCAATGTGCGGGTACATCCAGCTGAAGAATCCTAAGTAGGATGAAACGCACGTCCTCGATTCATCGGCTAGTCACCAAGATCAATGTAACATGAATACCCGGCAGTTTCGAGGCATCTGCATAGGAGTCCATCTGCCAATAGCATAGGTAGAATAACTAAGCCCTGTATAGTAACGTGGGCTTATAGGTATCACAACTACAATGTAAGCGAACCCTATTTTTGGGCATTTGTATTGGCTCTAACTATGATCGTAAGTCACTGAGCTTGACTGAAATATCGTATTTTTTCCGACTACTCCATTCTTTAGTCCTATATCTTATGATTTAGTTTGTGAAAATAGTATTACACTACTTGCAAAAAATAAGTAGTCTAAATAAAATAAGTAGAAAAAAATTTGTAGCCGTAGGTTTCCGGATCGATGCACAGATTCCTTTCAAAACTAACCAAATCAGTCGGTGCAAAAGGAATTCAAGAAGGATTTTGGTGGTGTAATTTTCTGAGCTGAATAGCTTAATCATAAGGCTAACATATTCATTGCAAACATTACAACCAGAGGAGTCAGCTAAAAAGATTCCCTTGAATGTAGTTTTTAGCAGCTGGTCCTAATGAGCTTGTGGGTGTGACTGGACACTGGTTATTGTGACACCATTGCATATGGGTTTATTTTGACTAGCTGACCTTCTGATGTGAACTTTAAATCTCCTTTTTATCATTATTCTTTAATGGTTGATAAATTGAACCAATGTAGATACGTGTACTTATCCCTTGATGGACTTAGGAACAAGCCTTAAAGACTTCTATAGTGTTTTCGAATTTCTTCAGTTGAAAATTTTCACATATTCCTAATTGAATATATGTACACAGTTTTTGACATGTACTGATATGAGTGAAGAAATATTATGGCACCTTAACTACTAGTTGGTTTTCGTGTTGACATTTACGAAGTTGGATACACTCTATCCCACATAGTTTCTTCGCAACTATATAATAAACATGCATATTGTGTAACCAACGGGATTATTACTTTAAATTTCATCAACTTCCAATCAACTGACGTTAAGTCACACACCATGACTTCAAAAATTTTTCTCAATCTGTTGAGTAACCTAAACTGTAAAATGATTTAGTGTTGTAAACGTTATGTAACAAAATCTTTCCTTTCTTATTACCATGTAGTACCAACAACCTTGTGTGTTATGTCAGATGCTTGAGTCTTGTGTATTCGAGATTGAAAATAGAAGTCCACTCAACAACCTTATGCATACAATAAGCATTAGGTAACACCTTTTAGGTGAGGGTTAATACCTGGCTGCTCATAACCTCGGTAGCTGGAGTCATGATAGAATCCTTGATCCCCACTTCCATCTGTCGTACTAGTAAATATTATTACCGTCAGTAATACGACTATTAAAAGTTCTATTTACTTCATATTGATGCAAATATAGTCAATTGCTATATAAACTATGCAGATATCAATACAAGCGTAAAACTTGGGCACTGTGGTAGGGTGTAATTCCACTTTAGTTGATTGATTAGATATCTAACACAGTGAAACAGTATAATTTGTTGGGCAACTCTTTTCGGAGAAGATTTATTGTCTATATTATATTTAGACTTCAAATCATTCTATGGTACATGACAGCCAATCCCCTTCAAGTATGCGCTGACCAATCAAAATCAAGAGTAAAAAAGAACTTAATAAGGAAAGTGGTACTTTATTTACAATTTATAAATCTAGATTTTCAATAGGTTTATAGTTTTTTAAACTGTACCATTGTTTCTATTGCCATTCCCGTTAAAGGTCTTAAGAATTTTCTAAGACAAGAACAATAACCTTGATAGGAGTAACCTTTTTGGGCTAGAGGCATATACGAGTAAGAAGCATCTGCGTATACTGTGATACCCAATTTTACCCATTTCTTATAACTGCCAGGATAGATTTTTCTGATCTATCTCCTTTATCCAATAAAAATGCCTTTTCTTTGTGTTTCAGCTATATATGCCAAGAATCTGTGGTTTATCAAGACGTATGTAAGTCGTCTTCTTAGGTTATATTTATGTTTCCGAACAAAAAATTCATCTATTTCAACCACATTACCTACTCCAACAAATTTCATATCCAACCTGCAACTGATCAGTTTGTACAGCATCAACAACACGGTAGACGGACTTAACTAATGGCCTTGAATATTACTAATATTATTACTTTTTCCTAGTGGAATATAGGGCTTCAGTAGCACGTCGCCATTTCACTACCTTTTCTCCAGTCTTTCGAACCTGGCTCCACGACAGCCCACAAGCTTTCATTTCTTCCTCACATGATCTCTTCCATGTCACCTTCGCCTCCGATGCCCAACTCATCGCTTCCCCTTTGGATTCTACTCCAGGGCCTGGCTTGGCGCGTGATGTCCCTAATCGGCCTTTTCAGTGTATGCCCAACCCATTTCCACTTTCTTCCTCTGCATATTTGTTGGGTGATAGGTTCTTGACTGGTTCGCTGTAAGGCAAAGTTCCTGGTTCCTTATTCTTTCCGGTCATCTGATCTGACCTTCAGTATCGAGTGGGCGTAGGCGGCAGCTATTGATGAATGTCTGTAGTTTGTTGGAAGTGCTTTTCGTGACACGCCAAGTATCTGAACCATATAGCAGCACTGACTTGATATTGGTGTTGAAAATCCGGATCTCGTTCACACTTTACGCTGAGCGCTGTAGATCTCCACACTGATTATTTCAGATTAATAATGGCCTGTCTTGCTGTCTTTCCGATCCTGGCTTTTGATATCCTCGTCTGTGCCTGTGCCGCCTGTAGTTGGAACGATGCTGCCTAGTTGGTAGGTGAAAGAGACAACTTCCTTTAGGTTTCTCCCGTTCATGGTGACTGATGCTTGTTACTGATGCTGTTGTTGGTTGGGTATCTTCACCACCTCCGTCTTCTCTACATTCACTTGGAGTCCCGTTTTCGCCACTCTGCCCTGCCTCTACTGTCAACTTGTTAGTTTTTGCCTGACCTTGTATAAACCACTTCCAATCTGACTGGTTCACCTCAAGGTTTCCCGTCACTAAAGTTTGGTTCCACCCATTTCAATCTATGTCACTTAAATTCAGCTGAATAAAATATCTAAATAAGAGAACCGACAGTCACTAGTAACTAAGACAAGATTTGAGATGAGAAATCAGACTTATGAAGGACACTTACTCATAAATAATTATCCTCCTAAATCTATAAGTAATCTCTAGGAAAATATGACAAATAGTGATAACACAGATGTTTATAATAGTAACGATAGTGAGAGGACTGCGAGGAAAGACTTCACAACCCCTACGGTGGTAGCACGCAAAGAAAGCACCTCAAAACATTACGTGGAATTCTTAATAAGGCCGGGATTACAATGGCACTTAAACCTAAAGGCCCACTCTGAAATAAGCTTTGTAGGTTAAAAGATCCTACTGTTCCAATCAAACAAAATAATTTAGTTTATCATATCCCTTACAATGACTATGAGGTGAAATGTATAGGTCAAAATAGTCGATCAAGGGCAATCCCACTGTTCGAGCACAAAAACATAGCTGAATCAAGATTGGTAGACCTCAGTAAGGACTTAGAAAAAAGCTCAGCTATGGTTGCGCATACAATTAAACACAATCACATAATAGGATGGAGAGAGAGAGTCAAAAGCCTTAAAACTAACTTAGTGAGGATAAAAGTTGAGATCGACAACTGAATTTTTGTTTATCGAACCAACATACAAAATATGTGTAACAGGAATGATTAAGCATCTACTCCAGATATTTGGGAAATCCTACGACTTTTCTCACGAAGAAGACAAGAGAAATATAACTACAAACACCATCACTGAATTTGTCAGACTGATGATACAGAAACCAAATTAACAGCGAATCTCACACACAAGTTCATCGGTTCAAGTTATCACACTTCATATTAGCATGCAAGGAACAAATGGATAGAAAACACTGACATCAAAGTAAACAAAGATGCAACGGAAAAGTGGAGATTTAAAAACTAAGGTTAGTCAAAATACTCAACCTTTAAAAGACATCAAAGTGACTGATTTTCAGCCATATAACCAAGAGTTCTCATTGATTCCTATGATCTTGTGAACCTTAACCAGGCAGTCTATACGAGCCTACACGCTTCACACTAACGGTCAAAGATTTCATGCATTGGTGAACTGAAGTGATACTCAGATATCAAGCCTGAATATGAAAATCGAAAAGTAAAGTGCTTGAAAAAATAAGTTATCAATTGGAAAATTATTCAAGAAGTAAACGGAGAATCTCATTAAGATTACCTTGATCCGCCAGACCATAAGAGTAGGAGAGGCGATAGTCCTTACCGACTGCCATGCGGGTTCTTTCTCAGCAGATTCCTCTGTAAAAATAAATATATCAAGGAGATTAAATCATACTTCCTGTTAAAATATTGTCAAGATTACACTATTGACTATCAACATCTAACACCAAAATACAGTACACTGTAGTGTAACATCATTTCGCTTAGTCGACATATTGTAAAAATTGATCGATAGAATGATCAGTTTTCAAATGATTTACAAATTGTACAATCCATGTTGAAATTTCTCACACAGCTGAGTAATTTTTTAACTACGGTGTCAATAAGGTTTCAGTTGAGAACCACTCAACTAAGATTACAAGGTGTGGTGTCGTACACAAAATTATCGTTAACTAGAGAAATATTCTACTACTACTAAACAAACTTTGGCCAGCCAGGTCAGAGTGATCTAAGCACCGGAAGGTCATTTGGCTCGTTTGGGGGTGTACTCAGGCAAATTCAGTTCACAGAGCTGAAGTACTTCAGATTACTTGAAATATGGCTAGATTAACTTCCATGAACTGACCAGTACACCCTAGGATAGGATGATCAATTTGCACGGTTCACATTGAAATTTCTGGATTGATAGACTTATATCAGTGATGAATGAGTACAAAGAACTAAAGAGCTACATTGGTTACCCATCGATAACCCATTCATGCAATACCAAAATACTTTTTACGGCAATACAGTTAATTATTTTGACTTCAACTACTAAGTTTCAAGGATACTTAGAGGAAAACTTGGAGTACATATCAGATCCCGGTCACTACCACATGAATATTTGAGATTTATTATTATTATTAGTCCCTTGGGTTCCTAGTGGAACATAGGGCTTCAGTAGCACGCCTCCAGTGAACTCTGTTCACCGAAATCTTTTCAACCTGGCTCCATGACAGCCCAGAAGCTCTCATCTCCTACTCACACCACCTCCTCCATGTCACCCTCGGACGTCCAACTCGTCGCTTCCCATGGGGATTCCACTCGAGCAACTGGCCTGACGCGTGATGTCCCCAGTCGGCCTTCTCAGTGCATGCCCAATCCATCTCCACTTCCTTCCACTGCACATTTGTTGCATGATAGGTTCTTGGTTGGTTCGTTCCCAGAGCTCCTTGTTGCTTATTCTGACTATTCTGGCAATCCATCTGATCTTCAGTAGCGAGCCAGCGTAGGTGGCAGTTGTTGATGAATGTCTGTAGTTTATTGGAAATCCCTTTCGTGACGCGCCAAGTCTCTCAACCATACAGATGCACTGACTTGACGTTGGTGTTGAAAATCCATATCTTGTTCCACATGCTGAGTGCAGTGCAGAAGATCTCCACACTGGTTTCAGGCTAATGAACGCCTGTCTTCCTTTTCCGATTCTGACTGGCTTTGACATCCTCATCTGTGCCACCTGTAGTTGAAACAGTGCTGCCTGCCTAGATAGGTGAAGGAGGTTACTTCCTTTAAGTTTCCCCCGTTGACGGTGATTGGAGTTTGTTGTTGTTGGTGGTGGTGGTGTGGTATCTTCATCACTTCTGTCTTCTCTATATTCACCTGAAGTCCCGTCTTAGCTGCCTCTTCTATCAACTTGTTAGTTTTTGCCTGCAGATCTTCAAGTTTATGTGACATCAGGCACAAGTCATCGGCGAAATCCAAGTCTTCTAGGTTCTTTTCCGCAGTCCAGCCAGTGTATCCCCCTCTTCTCGCTGCCCACTGTTTGCTGCATGATCCAGTCCACCATAATAAGGAATATCATGGGGGAATATTTGAGATATTCACCTACAAATATTTTGATCACCAGTACCACAATAAACAATTACGCGGGAAATAAGAAGCTGATGTTCCAGTTACTTCTTATGAAAGGACTACATTGTTTAATGATGCTCGAAGATTAACAGAAAATTATGCTATCATACAAGCTGAGAGAAGAACATGTACACTTCAGTGAAAAGTCTCTTTCCATAATTTCATTCTCCCAGTTATACAACTGCAAATCTATACATTTTTCTTGCACTTCTACTAAATAGTTAGCAGTGATTTACAAAATATGACAAGAAAAATTATATCAATGCATAAGTTGACATCAAAACGAAAAACTGTAATGAACGCGAAAAACATAACTTCACCTAAGTGAGCACTTGTACATAACTAGCTAGACATCACTAATTTATGGTTGATGACCCAAAGGTTTTGTTGAATTGGATCTACTGTATTTGTTAGCATATAAAGCTTTTTTCTGAGTTTAAAAGCTATGCTACTAATCTCAGCATTCTGTTTGAGAATCCTAAGTAGATTCCTCTATATCCCTTCAAGTTAGTATGTGTACAGTTCTGATGGGTTTTTTTTTTGAGAAATTCCTGATAACTGAATATTAGTCATGGTAACTAAATATATTATTCTAGTAGGTGATTTATAAAAATTGATTGATTTCAGACTCTTTATTGACATTAACTGAAGAACCATTGGAAATCTGGGAGCACTGGACAGCTGTTTTATCCCAGGGGTCAAACCCAGGACCTACGGGTCTTACATCTAGCACGCTACCATTGAGCCAGGGGGTTGTAGTCATATGGTCCACATTTTCCTACCTCTGTCAGTTCATGAATTAGCGCAACCCTAATGCAATGCCACCGCTGGGTTACCTGTCTTTATTTCCCATTTAGTTCGCCCCCACCAGTCACGACTTCTCATTAGAACTTTGGAAAATCTTATCTCGAACTAAGTTAATAGATGAGTACTGGATAGAAATTTAGTTTGGAGGTTTATGCAGATCTATTGATTTCTAGTTGGTATTCATCACCGACTGACACCAGTTGGAGAAACATTGGAGACCTGTGAGCATTGGACAGTTGTCTCGTCCTAGTATGGTACTTCCTAGCAGTGCGGGACTAAATTACTGTCCTGCATTTATCAGTGACTTACTTCGAGATAGATTTATCGAAGTTTTAATTAGAACTTGTGACCTGTGAATCAAACTATTTCAGGAGTTAGTGGATATCCACCGATTAAAATGGTTTATAACCACAGTGTATCTTAAATTAACAGAAGTAGACGATATCAAACATGAGTTCCCAACCCATTAGTTGAACAATAATGCATCCACCATGAAACCTGACAGTCTTGGACATGAAACCTTGCAGGATCACTAGTGCACACTCTTGATGAGTCTAGAACCAGGACGAAACACTTGTTTAATGCTCCCAGTTTACCAATGTTTCTTCAACTGATGTCAATTCATGAGGAAACGTACTCCAAATATAACAAGTCTATGTATGTACTTTCGGAGTACAATTATTCTGTGCGATGTGAAGCCAATAAAAAATAACGGTGTAACATAGCAAGCCATCTTTCAATGTACATCACCTTCACATCTTTCCACCATGATCTTTGATATTGAATTCTGACACTGTTTCTTCATACTGAATTTTCTGGTATACTTTGACTCACTACTAAGCTAGTTAAAAATAATTTCGAAACCAAGCTTAGAGAAATGCTTTGGACAGCATTTTCAACGATTTTCAACAATATCTCTATAATAGTCTACTAGCAATGGGATCTAGAATGTGCGTTTCTTCCTATTTGCAAATCGTCAGCTGGATGTACCTGCCTCTCAGTGAGTGATGTTGTACCCACGGAGACTTGAACCTTGAACCCACTTCTTCAAACACTAAAGCGCAATACACAGGCTTCTAAGGTAGGAGGGCCCCAATTAATACAACGGGTATCACTTCTCGTTTATTGATAATTATAATTTCTCGTTGCTATGCAGGGTCAAATAGCTCGACCTCTGTTAGCACAGGAGCCCAACCACGGACAGAGGTCGAGCAATACGACCAAGTATAGCAACAGAAAATTAAAAGTACCGATGAGCAGTTATACGGTGAAATTATTTGATGGTCTATCTAAAACCATATTACTAACGAAATGGTTCATAGTGGTAAAGTATGTAAGCTATTTCTTTACTCATCTTAAATGGAGTATTCAGTTACGAGTAAAAAGGTGTTTGAATCTCTCATTTCCTGAGAACTAGACACAAAGTGGAAGCGACAAATGTAAAGTTCTCCAATCAACTAAAGCAATAACTGCTCTTAGATTACATAACACTACTAACTAGGCTATTCTAGGCTGCATAACAGGGAATGTTTGCAGGGTTTCCGATCAGTAGTGAGGATAAATGTATTTACAGCTATTTTGACTGGTCAGAGTGATCCCTAACTACCTGTATTAAATAAGCAGTATATAACGTGCGATTTGTATTGAATCTCGTTTTGTGACAAGTTGCCAGGGAATGTCCTAAGAAGGTAGATTTCCATCAAGAATGAAAGTAATGAAACTGATCACATAGCTTAACGACCACTGCGAAAAATGCTCTTTAAAATGGTACTGAACCATTCTATTAGGGATACTTCTTTATTATTTATTTTGAATGCGAACTCGGTACAATATGCGCTTTCAAGAATGATCATGACGTGTTATCTCCGCAAATATAAACGAAACGGCAGCTATAATGTGGAGAAGAACTAGTCAGATTTCGTCTTTCTACTCGGTGCATAAATATAGAAACTTTTCATAGCGTCGGACACAAAGAGATGATTGACGGCTGACAGAAGCCTTTGAATAGGATTTGATGAAGATAATTTTCATACTGGGTGATGATTGAAGTTAAAATGTAAATTTGGAATGTGGTCGGACTCGGACCAGCGATCACCCGGTTACGGCTCGATCCTTTACCAACTGAGCTACAACGTCCAATGGCTGACCGAATTTTAATTTTATTTCAATCACTAAGGCTTTTATCCTACTACCATGTGAATTCCTTGCCGTGTTACCACCACATGATCGTACTCACACTGTTTGCCCAATTAGGACATCTCATCCAAATCTAAATCTAACGAAATTCCATCCATCCAGATCAACCAAGGACCAGCCATTACTGCGTAACGGTCCAACTTGCCACACCTCATATCACTACATCAAGTAAAAAGGCAGTGAGGCGCAAGATGAAGATAAGAGAATGCAGTCAGAAGAAAGGAAGAATGAGAAAATGGTGAGATTAAGTATAGCGTTGTTAAGATGAAGATAATGTGTGTATACATCTGCGCCACTGACATCCATTCTCAAACATATCATCTACAGTCTCCAACCACTGATTCCTCTTGTCCCGCAGACCCCAACCACTCAGTCTGCATCACCCCATATGGCTCAAATCAACAGTCAAACACTTCATACATTGATGCCATATTTTCGTCTGACTACCTCGAACCTTTTTCCAGCCTGAACCTACTTCAGCCAACATTGTGCGACGAGGTAATCGGCCACTAGGCATACACAACTCAACACAACACATGTCACAACCAGCTATCTCAGTCCATGAAGGTTCACAACCGTGTCAACCGACTTACCTCTTCGCCCTCCCGAAAACTCTACACACACCTAACTTCTGCGTTACTCACGGGGTGACACCACGGAATACACCCTATACTAAAAAGGCAACGGTCGTCAAACACTTAAAGCCTTCTCATGTCTACCACCTTCAATCACCATGTTTCACAGCCATACAGTAGAACACAGCGGACTGCTGTGCAGTACATCCCACCCTTAATAGACAATCGGATATCACGGCGGTGCCATTGCTGGCGTAAGTTCGTGAAAGCCAATCGAGCCTTTCCTATCCATGCAGAGATTTTACCGGCCACTTCACTTCACTTAGCTATCAGGGCTGATCCTACTTCCCAGGTAAGTGAAGTGGCCAACACACTGAGCCACTTCACTCTCTATTGTTAGTCATGGCACCGTCGAAGACCAATCCTGGAGCAACAATTTGCATTTCGGTGGTGAGAAACGCATCCCGAACATTCTCAAATTGCTACTCAAAGTGTTCAGAAGACTCTGCATCTTGTCAGCGTCTTCACCTAACGGGACAAAGTCATCAAATTATCATTCTGACTACTATCTGAGGTAACCGTCGTGGTTTGGCAGAGTAGTACTGATACTGGGTAATGATTGAAGGTGAGTTGAAAATTTGGACCAGCGACCATCGGGTTACCGGCCCGGTGCTCTACCAACAAGAAAAATAAGACGTAATTTATCTCGAACGTATGGTGTATCAGAGCAATACATTTCTGGACAATCTGGTCACACTCCTTTAATGCATACGTACATTAATTACAACAAAGGATAAATAGCGTCAAAAAATAATCGACGTAATAAGAAGTCAAATTGTTAGGTTAGAGGTCAAATCATCAACAGAAAGAGAAAGATACCATGTTACATTAATCACTCTTGATATCAAAGCTAAGTTAACAAGGACAGGTTTAATGTGACAAATTGTCTTTGAATGCATAAAAGAGGCTTATACTTTCTTATAACGACAGCTTCAACAAAACTAACCATATGTAAACAGGTTTGAGAGGTGAACACACAAGACAACCTTGTGACCCACTTCAATGAAACATTTAGCTATAGACATTTATTGCCTGGGTCAGTGGGATCATTCAAGTTGATTTGTTGTTGGAGCCATTTTGGAATGGGTTCTAAGAGCCTCTTACTCGTATAGATCAGTGGGTCTTTCCTACGAACTTATCACCACATATAGATGTGAACTGATGTACGTAGTTGGAGAAAATACTTTTCAAATGCTGAAAGGGTTTACAGCAGTACATAAGTCTCGTTTTCTTCATGATGTTCGTCTTTGTTACATAGTAAGTTTTCCAGATGGCTGCCTTAAGTCTTCGTTTAGTGTTTAGATGTTGTGAACCACTTACGGTAGTGTGAAATAAACATCTTTCTCAGGAACTGACTGAAAAATGCTCCTTCTTAGCTCGATATTTCTAATAAGATTAATGAATCTTAGGGAACAATTATTGCCGAATAATAGTTTGATGAGCATTTAGGTTTCTCCTCCTGAAGTATCATTCATGCTTTATCCTTTGAATCCGGTTGAACATAGACTACATTCGTGACCATTCATACATAAGGGGACGGAAACTATGGTAATTTAGATACTGTCGTGGTATGAATCAAGACAATAAACTGTTTGAAACGTTATTCAGTAAATACTACTGTCACACTGCAGTGAACAAGTTTTACTCTTATCAAAGTGAAATTTTCTCGGCATTTATTATACTGTGACAGTGAATGACTTAGGAGTATAATTCATTTTGCATATAGACAATAAGCATGAAGTTTAGGCATAAAACTTCCCTTCTGCTGGCTGTGACCACTCAATATGACATACATTACATCAGTAATAACAATTAGTCGAATAGCTACATTTCAAAATGTTGCAAGTGTAAATCATAAGTATAAACTATTATTACCACACAAGAAACTAGGTGCCTAAATTCGATACTAGAGGTTACAACTTGATGTCTTGCTTCCTAAAACTCAAGTGAATGAATATCAGACGATCATACTGCCCAGCATGTTATAACGGCAAATGAACTGGTGTGAATTGAACTGACTTTAAAGTTCACCTCCTAATAACAACTGAAATAGTCAATTAAGTTTCTTTACTATAGCTGAAAAGGCTGATTTTCATAAAATAAAAGAGTTCAATTAGTGATCTTTGCAACTGCTAAATTGCTTTTAAAGTCATTCCCCAAACTGAATGAAATAATAAAAAAAGTGAACTGCAGGTACCCAGAAGTAGATGAAAACAAGGAGAAAATGTAGCTATGACTTAGAAAACGAATATAACTAAGGTGAGTTAATCACCCTTTGACCTTCACATAACAAATATTCGGTCACAAGTGATATCAACGTTAGCAGCCAGCGAATGAAATAAAGTTGTACATTTATCCGTTAACACAAATGTTGCCTAGATTCAAGCTAACAAGTTAAACTACAGTATTCTACAGATTTATAGGTGTAATGACACATCATCAACAAGGTGTACCAATATGATTAGGTTTGTTACAATTATCAATGTTCTGTTTACGGTGAACAAAATTCAAAAAAAAAACGACATTAGAGAACTGATAATTACTACTAAGATGTAAAATCCACTTTCACATGTAACAATCAGGGTCTCTAAGGCCTAATCTCATGTTACAATTACATTTACAGAATGTAAGCAAAAAATTAATTTGGAAACACTACAATTATCAAAATACGTTTTCTGATAGTTTTGCATATCGATAGAATAGTTATAATGATGACTCTTTAATATGATCTTGAAAACAAACCCCTCCTCTTAATGTGGCATTTTTCTGAGACGATGAATCCGTAAAATAGATGGTTAAAATATGAAAACGACAGTAATTTACACGCTAGTAAGTTGTCATTGGCATAGAAGTCTGAAGTAATAAACTAACTGGCCAGGTTATCTGATTCATTCCTCCATCGACATGATTTTACAGCGAATAACTTGAGTCTTGACAGAGTCATGAATGCAGTTGACACATATCCCAGTTGCCCACGTTGTGGAAGGTATCTCAACCAAAAGGGTCAGTCCATTACTGTAGAGTTCGAAAGACATCTGCTTGAAGCCGGTCACACATGGCCTTTTTGCAAATTAGAGGCTTTATACTGGTTAGCTGAGACTCCGACTACGAACCAACATCGATGGCTCCGGTATGCTGTGGGGTAGAAGTGTGCCATTTTTAGGACCGATATTTCCCAAGACTCCCTTTTTGTAGTGAAGGCAGCATCAAAATGAAACCGCTGATCATCCTAACCTACTAACAAACGAGACCTAAACGAATTTCCATCCAAACTAACAACTCCACCATTTCTTCTATCGATTATTTTGAAAATATCCCACAGATCCCTTGTATGACCAGATTGTTCGAAATGTATCACGCTAACTTACCACACCTTTGAGATAAACTACATCTTGCCAATGTTTAATTGAGACTCATAAAACGGTCTGCTATATAGTGTTCATATCTCAACAGTAACCGATAGCGATTAGCTTCTAACAGACCGATAAGTTTCTCCATAACTTACTACAACAGTGGATAACACCCTGCTGTTTCGAAGCAACAGAATCTAGAGGTTCAATTCTCGGTAGAAACTACACTAGAAGATTGATGTCTCAAGCTGGTGAGTTCTAAAATAGATGTCGATGCTGGACATCCCATACGCTTATTATTCAACACTAAAAACTACAATGACTATTGTCTTTCCCACCTGAATATTTACTGTATACACGGAATGCAAAGTAATACGCATAACTACCATATGTTGCTGTAGGGGACTCAAAGAATTTGATTTTAATCCTAACCTAGAATGACCCATAGATAGATGCACAGTGGGTACACACCACTACTAAGTAACTTTGATCAATCCGAAGTGTTCAGCTATGAGTTATTGGAAAGTGCAACTTCTACTCAACGTAGAAGCTACCAATCTAATGACAAAAATTCGTTGAATACACTTATCATGTTGGGTTTATCTAAAGTAATCCATTATATCATTCAGTCATACGTACTGAACACTACAAGTTATCTAGTTTTTCTCTAACTAAAAAAGTGGGCATACGAGGACAATTTCTTTATGTACAAAGAATCCATAAATAAAGGCAAAGATGATGTTTTATTGATCATGGTAACTAGCAAAGGAATCCAGGACGCGCGTTTCAAACCCGCGACCCATAGCTTCAAACGCCAAAGCAATGTCTACAAACCCATAACTGATACTCGTTGCACACGAGGTGGCTATCGTGCCTCGGTGGTTTAGTGGACAACACTACGGCGTTTGAAGTGAAAGATACTGGGTTCGAGCTTCAGTGAGGTGCAGGTAGATCCAGCTGACGAGTCCCAAATAAGATAAAACACGCGTCCTGTATCCCTCTGCTAGTCACCAAGATCAATATAATATCATGGATGCCCGGCAGTATCAAGGCATCCGCATAGGAGCCCATCTGCTAACAAAGGTAGGGCAATTCGGCCTTGTATAATAACGGGAAATGACAAGTATCATAACAAAAAGTAGACATGAATTTCAGAATTCAAGTGAATTATTTATACTCACTTTTAACAGCTCTCTCTGTATCAGATCCAAAGAGTGCAAGGTTGGTATCCTTCCAATTATAATGTTTTGCTTCAATAAAACCAGCCATGGTATAAAAGAATCAAATGGTAGCACAATGTTTGCTGGATAAAAAAGCTGTGAATTAAATAATTTCTGCAAGCCAATAAGATGATGTTCAACCACTCGTTTCATCGATCAGTTGGACAAAATTTGTGAACCAATAAACGAAAAGACAGACAACCTTCTTTAATCTAAATGATAGTTTCTACTAGACTAATGAGATTTGAATAAAAATGATTCATACCACGCCTACTCATCATCAATTCGTTTAGGTCACATTTTTCAATGACTAACTTGGCCTTACATCAAAAACACCACATATTGTAAGTATTACAGGTAGAGAAAAAAGTAGTTTCAGTTACAATAAATTTACTTTTTTTTTAATCAACTTAAAGTACTTTCAACTTTGGACAGGCCTTGCTACATAGAGCATGTTAGTACTGAGGTTCAAGCAAGGTTATAAAATTCAGCCAATGAACAAACGAATAAAGATAACTTCAGTTTACATGACTTACAATCGATACTGCCACAATTCATTGGTTTCCAAATATACTCTAATTCAGTTGGTCAAGATTTCTGACTGATTAAAATGAGGTGACTTTATAGGCCATCCTAGCAATGATCGAAATCACTAATCACGTTTCTATATTCGATGAAAAATTGTCTTCGTAGCCAAAATACCGCTGCCTGATTGGTTATTTTGGAAGTCGTTGGGGTGGCCTTTAAAGTCTCCCCCCATTAGTAGTTACTTGATTATTGGCTTTCTATATGCCTCACTATCTGAATAAAGCCAATCTGCCTATAATTTCCTCATATTTAGTTTCACTGACTGAATTAGAAGCGTAGATACTTACATCTTGCTTAATAGTCACTGCATTGGTGTAAGTGTAGAATTCCTTCGCCCCTGGGCAACCCTTGAAAGCAGCAATCAAAGAGCGTCTGCTTTATGGTCAGAGTGGTAGAAAAATGTTAACGCCGAAGTCTACCGGTTGGAAGTTGTTACACACCACAACAGGATACAATGAACAAGTAGACAGAAAATGACTGATGTCATCGTAGAAAAAAGTTTACCAGACAAAAGGGAATTCGGAAAATGAGGATTAGTGAAAATGTCTAAGATTTAGAAAACATCAAACAGCAAATATATCTGCGCCACTGTAACCAATTTTCAACCATGTCACAAAGATTCTTCAACCACTGACTGCTATGGTTTCGAGAACCTCAACTAGGTAGTCTAAACCAACCAAAATGGTTCAAAAGAAGTCAGAGACTTCATTGAATGATGCCACGGCTTAGTCTGGCCACCATGAACCTTCTTCCAACCTAATTCAACTTCTCCCACCATTACACGTCGAGGTAGGAGGTGAATAGGCATGCACAACACGTGTTCAAGCCACCTCAATCCGTGAAGCTTCACAACCTCATCGACTGACTTGCTTCCTTTGCCTAGTGTCCTACGCCTGACCACGACACCGCACATAAAGTGATTCCATCAGACGTGAGCAATGCTGAGAAGGCACTGGTGATGGAGAACCTAAAATCTCTTCATGTAGTCTTTTCTCTACGGCAAGGTCTGACATTCACACAATAGTAGGACAGAACAGATAGGAGAGTAGTTGGCGAATACTAAACTGGCGTTTTGTATCCAAGCTAAAATTTCGTCAGAAGTAAGCGAAGTGGTCAGGACATTCTATCACATTACTCGCAACCCTTAAGCTAGGAGTTAATGTAGACTAGTCCTTAAGCATATTACGCATTTCTTTACAGCATTGCCATCGAATTCGTACACATTCATGGTGTAGACACTGTGCAATACTTTTTGTGTGACGGCCAATGATACGATCTGTTTGCCCAGCTCTCGATAGGTCAAGAGATGTTTGGATCCATAACCCATTGGTTCAAAGTTACCTCTCTTAACCAATGTACCACAGCTCCATGTTGTAGTGGATATGATTTATTTCTAACATGGTTTGGAAGCTTATCTGGAATTTTAACCAATTTTAATTTCTTGTCTGAGCAATGTTGAGGTCAGACAAAGGGTACTAGGCAAGATAGACAGGTAGGTTGGTGAGATTTCGTACCTTCGGCGACTAAGATGACTTGGACGTGTACTGCTCATGCCGAGCCACTGCCTACCTTGAAGTGCTATTCCAAGGGAAGCTTCATTAGGTTGGAAGAGGATTCACTATGGTCAGTCAGTCCCCTACTTTTGGTCTGAGTCATGTGGAGAGATGTAGACTACCCGGTTCTGGTCTCCGAGATGAAAGAAATCAGTAGTTGAGGTCTCTTAGTGACATAGCTAAAAATTAGTCATTCTGACGTCTTCTAAAGCTTGGATATTCAGACTAACCTTTATCTTCAAATTAGTTCTTCTGTCTCTACTTTGATGTTACTCTTTTTCTATCCATCTGTTGATTTTATCAGTCAGTCAGCTTGGATTTCAAAAATGCACAAGAAGCATTCAAACGTGTAAGTTATTAAGCAGAGGACAAACAGTGAGTAGGTCCTCTTTTCAGCGATGGCAATGAATAATATTTAACTAACTTTGTCCCTATTCAACGCGACACAGCTGCCCAGTAAACTGAACATCAACATCAACTAGCGGAACCCGTTCACTGAAGGATTGAATAGTATGATTCAAAAGTTTGCTACAGTGTCACGGATACACTAATTCTTTTTCTTATCATAAATCCTAACCACCTGATACTAACGCCTAACCGCGCTCTGACTTATCATGTTATTGAGGTTGGGTTATTATACTTTATTTGCTGTGTTCCACTGATTACTATTTCAAGATGTGTCATAATGAAAATTCACTGAAATATCTTCAGAAAGGAACCTAATAAGGTTTATTACCGCAGTTCATCCATGGGTTGTAATCTGTTATGGTTTCCATAGCCAGAGATAATGAGCGTCACAACTAATCAATTATGAATGTCCTTCATATATCTGACTCTGTTCTCATTGTAAATTTGCCTTCTTTCTGAGTCAGCTGAAATGACATTAGTGACTATAGGTTCAACTAGCATATAGCGATCAACTTTTGAGCATTTTCTTCAATCAGTTAATCATTGAACTGAATAAGAGACCTGAATCGAGGTTGTGACAAAAGCATCGGCTGAACCACCAAGACAGAAATGTAACAAGAGGGAGAATGTATTGAACACCAACATGCAACACTGAAATACATACATTGCACTAAAGTGTCGTATCACTTTGCTTAATAGCTATGTTGAACAACTTGATTGATAAACTTTGATCAATGCTAAGCACTAGACAGTTAAATCGATTACCCACTGATAACCAATACATGAACTCCTAGTTTCTTATTCTGAACAGTTGAAGTTGTTAAACAAAGATTTTATGACACCATGGATAATTGAGTGGCTCATAATTTCAGGTTGGTATTCATTATGGACTCAGACAACTTAGAGAAATATTGGAGCACTGGATAGCTGTTTCATTCTAGTATGAGACTCCTCAGCAGTGAGCACCCACTGCCTTGTCAGCAATCGAACCCAGGGCCTTCAGGTTCCACTGCCTGTGTGGCACCATTGAGTCACTGGGTCGGAATCCAACGATATAGTGGGACCTCCATCTAATGCCATCGTTCAGTAACTGCCCTCACGTTCAGTTTGGTTGGCTCCACCGATCACGACATCTCACTAGAGTCTCAAGAATCATCTCTCCAACCAAGTCACAAATGAGCATTAAATTATTTCATTTTGGAGGTCTATGGGGATTTATTTATTTATTTTAGGTTGGTATTTATTATTCTTCAACTGTTGTCAGTCCATGATTATCATTATTATTTGTTCCTTGGATTCCTAGTGGAACATAGGGCTTCAGTCCCACACCTCTATTCCACTCTGTTCTCTGCCGTCAGCAAAACTTGGCTCCGCCACTGCCCACAAGCTTTCATTTCTTCCTCACATGATCTCCTCTATGTCACCCTTGCCTTGGACGCCCAACTCGTCGTTTCCCCTGTGGGTTCCACTGGACGGCCATGATGATTACCAACCTGAAATCAATAAATAAATTCTCACAAACCTCTAAGTTGATACGGTTCATTATAAAACTGTCTATCTAATGACAGAAAAGGTTTACAGCTGAATGTAAACGATAAACGTGTGGTATCCGCAAACTTTAACAACTGATCATAGATGTTTCATCATGTATTTAACCAAGACTGCCTGTATCCGGCATGTTGTCATGTAAACTCTATGTGGCATGACTAACATTAATAGTCATTATTTCATTCAAATAAATATTTTAAAAACATTACAATTGACAATAAGATGAATTAATTTACACAACAACTAATCATTCTACACACTTTGAATGTGTGTGTGTCATTCACGTCACATATACTGTGTACATGGCAACATGTCGGATATCGACAGTCGTCCTGTATCAGAACTTCTTAGTGAATGTAACTTTCGTAGGGAATACATACTGTTAAAAAATTTGTCACTGGCTAAAAATACTTTTCCGTTAGCTAATCCCTAGATCATAATGATTTGTCACAATATATGTATGCTAAGGGAATACCATTAGAATGTTGTTTAGAAATCTCAGTCACAAAAGGTGTTGACTTTTGCCTCCACCAATCTCTCTGTTTCTCTTTCTATTTTGCTTATCATTCTACATTCAACCCTGACAATATTTACATAATGTTTAAACCAGACTTCAAAGACGTTGTTTAATATATAAGGAAAAAACGTTAACAATATTCAGTAGTTTTGTATCGAAGTGGGACTATTCTACAGTTCAATATGACAACCGATCAAGTGTGTTGTGTACTTGACTTTGATTAAATCAATAGTGTATATGGAAATGTCTTCCAGGATAGCTTTTTTGTTCATGTGGTGGAAAAATCGGAAATATTTTGAAATCAACAATTACTTATTTCTGTCTAAGCTGTGTTATTTACTTACCGATAATTGTGTAACATTATAAGGGCTAACCTCGCCTGGTTAACTAGTTCAATAGTTACTAGCCGGTCCTAAACCCGAGTAAAGAGGGAAG